AGTCATTGTGACAGTTGCAATGTCTGTCAATGCTTGAGTCATTGTGACAGTTGCAATGTCTGTCGATGCCTGAGTCATTGTGACAGTTGCAATGTCTGTCGATGCCTGAGTCATTGTGACAGTTGCAATGTCTGTCGATGCTTGAGTCATTGTGAGTTGCAATGTCTGTCGACCCTTGAGTCATTGTGACTGTTGCAATGTCTGCATTCATACTATAAAGTAACAGCTGAAATGCATGGGTACATAAGAGATAATAGGAAGAGTGATTTAATTAGATAATAATTATGAGAAAAAAAAGGCAGCCTTAAATCATGCAAGACTGGATATTGAAGGAAGAGAGGAGCAGAGACATAAAAATGAGAAGAGATGGAGTAGTGGAAAGTAAAAATGATAGTAAAAGGGTTGAAACTAGATATTAAAAGAGGACGAAAAGTGACATAAAAAATGCACCAGTTTAATATACAACCAACTGTCCATGCTTCGTGCAGAGTGGCATGCTTTGCTGCGGAGGACACAGGTGAGGAGTATTGTCTGGATTTTTTCACAGGGGCATGCTGTGTGTTTTGGGAAATGAACAGGCAGACAGACTGGCTGGCTCTGCACAACTTGGTGGAATACTGATACATGATAAGGCAGACGTGGTTGGTGCCTTGTGGGAGAGTGTGTACAGTTTAGAGGAGCAGATGGATCACCACAGTCTGGTGAGACTGATGCAGAGGGAAGTGACGAGAGGTTCTGGCAGATGCTCGAGGCTCAGAGAAAAGGCAAGATGGACATTTAAGCAGAATGCTACTAGCACCATTAGTATGGGAACTCTTCACTGGCTGCTGAAGATGGGGACAGAGCGCTTATGGGAATGCCCCGAGTGCTGTGATGTGGGTTCTTGAATCAAATCAAATCAATCAATGTTAAACATCAGCTTTGGCTTACCAGGAGATAGTAGTCATGGCCATAGAACTGTGGCATTTTCACAAACAGAAGATGTGGTCAGTGATGATCAGTGGCCCACAGCCTGCTCCAACCTAAGGCAGTAGAAAACATTCTAACAAGAATTACACCTCCAGATCATTTAAGATTCATTTTCTAAACAGTAAACTTGGATGGCACATTTAAAAGTAAAGGACCCTTTTCCAGGCCTTTAGGCGTATAGGGCATATAGGGTTAGACCTATATTTTATAGAGCAATCGGCACAAGATGGGTGATGTGGTCAGCATCATGCCGGCCACCTTTGCTGTCTGGGACTGAACCCTGTACCCACTCAAAGGCGATAGTACTTTATTGCATTTTAAACAGTTCACTTAAAATATATCAAACTTACTATTCTCTTACAGTCTATTATAATTAACAAACAGTCTAATGAATATTAATTAACCAAAAGTGATTGACAATCCAATATTGAATTAGGCAAAAACAAAATCACTATATATATCACTGTTATGTTTTGTTATGTAATCAGAATCGACGTCACTGCACACTGGGCATTCCCATGCATGCTCAGTCCTCCGATGCAGCAGCCACTCCAAAGTACTTCTACTAATTGTTACCATGAGAAGCTGGTTATACTGTCTCCTATCACGGCCTCGAATACGCCATAGAGGTACTTTACCTTTCTTTACTTCCATGTCACGCAATCGTGTTAGTGTCTGTGATTCCTCATTAACTACTAGCTCAGTCCGTACAGCGTTGACGATATCAGCTCTGTCCATGCTTCTTCCCATATGCCTTAGTGCGGTGCTTGCCAGTTGGTCCGCTCGCTCATTTACCTTTACACCCGCATAACCAGGTGTGTAGATAGGCCTACAGGTGAAGGGGGTTAAACGCAATTTTCGAATGCTATACTATTTATCATTATAATGGAGACATGTTGAACAGGATATTGTTGAATAAGTGAATACTATAACTTGCTCCAGTGTTTCGTACACCTTAAATTTGTAGTGACAGTGAAGTTTAGTACATGACTACATGAGCGTAGTCGATTGTTACTTTGCTCACGGCTTACCGTAAGTTTACTTAAAGTTTATTTACAATTAAACATTATGGTATAAACCAAAAAGAAACAACTTAGTCTATGTTTATCTACAGTTCATTTCATATTCTCAACCAACCCATTCATACATTCTAGTATAAATAATAATCAACCAGCAAGAGAAGTGGTCGGCAGCTCCGCCGTTTCCGCGAGAAGGTTTTGTCGTCTGCTACAATACATGCCAGATATGTTTCGCATTCTCTGCCTTCAAACATATTATTTAAAATGTTGAATATTGATTGAGAATCGACATCACAGCATTCGGGACACTCCCATAAATGCTCCGTCCCCATCTTCAGCAGCAAGCGAAGAGTTCCAATTCCAATGGCACCAGTAGTCGTCTGATTGTATATCCGTCTCATCCTTCTACTGAGTATTGAGCATCGGCTACTTTCCATGGTAACTTCTAGCAGCGCCTTTCTCCCCATACCGTTATGATCTATCTGCGCATCCGCACTGTTCACTCGTTCCCAAAGAACCCTCACAACATCTAGCTTGTCATACATCAATTGACCACCAAGTGGTGCAGAGCCTGCCCATTAACGACAATTCACGCCCATGTGATTTGATTATTTATACAGATGGTTCGGCGTTGAGGGGAAAGAGAAGTACATGGGAGTTCGTAGCAAAAGCCAATGGAAAATCTTTAGCCTATCATATGACACCACAACATTTAGCATGAGAATGTAGGTGGGGGCTGTAACAGCTAGAGAACACTATGCATACACATGTCATAATTGTTACAGACTCTGAAAGCATGCTGAAAAAGGTGAAGACAGGGATGCTTCGAGCAGAGTGACAAGCTTCACGCGAAAATCACGGGTAGTGAGCATACTTTATTTCTTTTCTCCAAGCAATGTCGGCGTGGTGGGTAATGAACAGACAGACAGATTGGCTGGATCTGCACCACTGAGTGGTAAATTGTATATGACAAGGCAAATGTGTTCAATACCCTTTGGGAACAAGCAATGGAATCAGTAGAGAAAGAATATTATTATGGCCAGGAGAGAATGAGGCACCTGGGTGTATACAGAGGATCTCGCCGGCTCACTACACTCAGAGGAAAGGCAAGACAGACACATAACCAGATTGTGACTGGTACCATCAGTATTGGAACTCTGCGCTGGCTGCTGGAGATGAGGACGGAGCATGCATGGAAATGCCCCGACTGCTGTGATGTCAATTCTTGACTCAGCTCAACTCAACTCAACGCTGCCTGCTCATTTTCAAACACACCGGCACGACCTGGAGAAAATATCCAAAGGATGCTAACTACCCGAAACCTCTGAAGTGATGCTTGCCACTCTACACGAAGCAAGCCTGTCTTCACCTTTCTCAACATGCTCTGTAAGTTAGTTACAATTACTGCATGTGCGTACAGCTAATTTTCAAGCCAGCGGAAGGCTGCAGAGACTGCCTCCACCTCTGTTCTCAAACTAAACTGTGATATCATATGCAAATCTTTGCTGCACTAAGCGACGTCCATTCGACTTTGCTATGAACCGCCATGTACTTCGTCCGCCCCTCAACACAGAGCCAGGTGTATAGATAGATAATCACATCACTTGGGCGGGAATTGTTAGTCAACAAATTATTGTAACAGAGGGATGTACTAGGACGGGGAACGGAATCTGTCAAGAATGACCTGCATACACATTAAAGCAGTTATTGTAATTGTTTATATATCTGGAGCTGGTCGTGGGTAATTGTACCTGGGTTGGGGGGGGGGGGGGGAGAGATTTCTACGAATATTGGCTTTTTGAGTAACAAAGTGTTAGTGGCTCACTAGGCTGTTCTAGAGGGGTTCCACTTCACTCACACAACTTGGCGTGAATTATTTCACTTTAACATGGAAAGATATAAAACGGACCGAAAAGCAGATCAGATTATTTCACTTTAACAGAATACATTTGTTCTAAATGTCAGCAGCAATAATTGTGATCACCATTTACTAAATTGTAAGAAATAGGAACTCTGAATGACTCCATTTATAAACTTGTGATGTTTTGTTTTTTCAATTACTGATTTAAAATCATCGTAGTGTACTAGGGCAACAGAGATACATTGTAGACAAGCTTCATTGTGGTAGTAGTCGTTTTCTCATAACTACAAACATGTTCAACCCAATGGTTTTATTCGGGATACACAGTGTTCACTGGATTTTCGGTGAATTATGATGAAGTCAAAATTAAGGATTGTGATATTATTGTATTGCTGTTTAACATTCACTATGAAGCCGCAGGTATGGTCTCCTTCTGATGTGCAGAATGGGTAAAGCATGTGCGCGCGTGAGTGTTCCGGGTTCAGATCAAACGAAAATAGGACGGCTTGCTCTTGATTAGTTAGTTAGTTAGTTAGTTAGTTGGGTTATCCTCATTGCACTCCGGACATGTCCATAGGTGCTCAGATCCTCCCCTCAGTATGAACCCCAACGTCCGATGGCTAATAGTACCAGTTCTATGTTGATTAACAAGTCTTCTGGCGTAGCTGGTGTGCGTCTCGTTTTTTGCTGTGCCGATCTTAATTCCCAAGTCTGCCATTCTGGCGAGTGATGTGGATTCACTGCCACCAAAGTCCTCTATTCTTCCCATTTCTCTGAGGGCATTGATAATTGCTCTTGATGATAGTGTTGATGTCAAAGTTCAACTCCATAGAAACATGTTGTAAATACACATATTTTGATGACAGATCACTTTTGGAGGTCAATGTTATTTTAGATTAATACGCAGAAGTTTTATTATAAAAATATTTAGACACATTTGGTAAAATCTAAACAGTGCAAAGCGTTAAAGAAATTTAGAAATAAACATCATAATTAGAAACGCGATATGTCATAAATATGGGAGCTCTTTAGCAAGACATCATGAACTATATTGTTTGTGTATAGCTATACATGAGTTGTGTGATTCGTTCTTCCGGCCTGCATGAATGGAATGTTGTGTTTGAGGAGGCCCGTAGACGATCTTTGACGAAATGAACTCCGAAATTGAACCTCATATCACGAAAAAATATGAAATAAAGAAGCGCCTTGGAAAAGGGGTAAGTTTCTTATTTTAGCTGAGATATAATTCAAGCAGACTGGGTGTTCGCTCAGTCTGTCTGTGATCTAATGATCCACCATCGAATGTTGAATCGACATCACAACACTCGGTTCGGTACGCTCCATTAAGTGCTCCGTCCACGTCTTCAGCAGCAAGCGAAGAAGTTCAATAACCGTCTCACCTTTTCCCTGTTGAGCGTCAGCCAGATCCCATGGTAACTTCTCGCAGCGCAATTTTCCTCAGACCGTTATAATCTGCGCCTCCGCACTGTTCACTCGTTGCCAAAAGGCCCTCACAATATCTAGCTTGTCATACATCCCTTCACCACCAAATAGTGCAGAGTCGGCCAGTATATCTGCTTGCTCATTTCCCAACACACCCGCATAACTTAGAGAGAATATCCAAAGAATGCTAACAACCCGGGACCTCTGAAGTGATGCTTGCCACTCTGCCAAAAGCTTGCCTGTCTTCACCTTTCTCAACATGCTGTGTGAGTTCTACCCCTATCATCATTGTACAGTAGTCTGAACAAAATAATAATAGGTAATATAATAATTCTTTAAACATTATAATAATTAATTAATAATAATAATGCATTTTTAAAACTGTATAATGGCAAAGTATAGCATGTCTGTTATTCGCTGGAAGAGTTCATGTTATTACAGTTGATAGCACTGCACAATAAAGGCATTCACCTGAGTGCTAAGTCCTGCAGTCCTTCACTGCCGCAGCAACTCCAGGACACCTCTATTGACTGTACCCATAAGAAGTTGGTTGAAGTCCCGGTAATGATTTGCTGGGAATGTCTCGTTAAGGGTTGAGTTCAAAGATTGCTTGTCGAGCTAGGCATGCTTCTGAATGTCCAGTCTGTGTTTAATTTTACACATGAGTGTCGAATATCTTTATGACAGATACAAATTGTATGTCTCTATAAAGCAGGAGTTCGGGCAACCTTTAGTTTTGTTTAACAAGTAACTTGCTTGCTGTCTAATGTTTACTGACAACATTTTTGCAAACTACAATGAATTTAAAATGTGTATTCTTTTTTGCCCCTTATACGATGCTGTAATGTACTGTATGAACATTCACTCGCCGTTGAAGATCATCATTCATCATGTGACACCAGTGATATAGATTACTTGTGTACTGTAATGTACTTTACTAGCCGTTGTGGCTGTAACTGCCTCATTCCAATGGGTGGCGAACACACATTTTGTCATAGTATCAGATTCATAAAGCATGTATAGAAGGGTAGAGGTATGTTTTATTCATACGGAATGGGAAAACATGTATAGAAGGGTGGAGGCATGTGCATGTTTTCTTCATACCGAATGGGGTACATCAGTCCAGAGGTCACAGGTGGTAGGATTCACATTGATATTTTGCCCGTCATTCAGGCGTGTTTGGGAATGAGTAGCCAGACGGCTTGGCTGGACTAGCCTCCATTTAGGGGTGTACTGCAACTGCACAAGATCTCTCACTTGTGGGGTGAGGTAACGTCAAATGGAAGATACCAAAAACCTGTACCTGGAGAGAGAGTTGCAGAGGGGAGGGTCTGTGGGCTTTTGGCACCACTGGAGACCTGGAGAAAAGGCAGGACAAGTAGTTAACCATAAAACAGAGGAGAGTGTCTGTGGGCGCCACTAGAGACTAGAGGGCAAAGCAAGATGAGTAGTTAACCAGATTACAGAGGGGAGTGTCTGGGCACCCCTGGTGACTATTGTCAAGACAAGATGAGTAGTTAACCAGATTACAGAGGGAAGTGTCTGGGCACCCCTGGTGACTATTGTCAAGGCAAGATGAGTAGTTAACCAGATTACAGAGGGGAGTGTCTGGGCACCCCTGGTGACTGTTGTCAAGGCAAGATGAGTAGTTAACCAGATGACAGTGGGTACCATCAGTATGGAGACTCTTTGCTGGCTGTTGAGGAGGAAGATGGAGCCAATATGAGCTTGTCCTGAAAACTGTTTTGTTGAATCTTCACCCAGATCTTTAGTTAACACATCATCCTCATTGCACAGCAAACCATTCACTACATAAGTACTTGGATTTCCTGCTTCTGAATAAATTTCTTTGTACAGTGGCTGATGACACCAGATCTCTGTTGGTTTATTATTCCTCTTGGGCTTTCTGCATAGTATTCTTGTTTGACCACCCTTTTTATCTTGGTTAGCCTGCATTCAATATATCAGCCTAGTGCGCCTCCCACAGTAGCTTACCTGCCAGCCTATCAGCTTGCTCATTTCCTTGTACATCTGCATACCCTTGCATAAAAATGAAACTGGTCTTTGAGATGAATAATCATCAGTGAAAGTGGTAAAAAGCAATTCACATCCTTCAGCTATCTGGCTGTAGAGACGGAGAAGGGAGATGTGTCCATAACAATTCCTTTTTTAATAATTGTATTTAGTGCCACACTGGAAGACAGCTCTGGGACATGCACTTCCTAAACAGGCCATTGACAATCTGAAGCCAAAAGATCAGACCCAGCCTTCTAGACCTGTAGTGCCCAGCTATATAAGACCCAGCCTTCTAGACCTGTAGTGCCCAGCTATATAAGACCCAGCCCTCTAGACTGTAGTGCCCAGCTATATAAGACCCAGCCCTCTAGACTGTAGTGCCCAGCTATATAAGACCCAGACTTCTAGACTGTAGTGCCCAGCTATACAAGACCCAGCCTTCTAGACCTGTAGTGCCCAGCTATATAAGACCCAGCCTTCTAGACCTGTAATGTCCAGCTATATAAGACCCAGCCTTCTAGACCTGTAGTGCCCAGCTATATAAGACCCAGCCTTCTAGACCTGTAGTGCCCAGCTATATAAGACCCAGCCCTCTAGACTGTAGTGCCCAGCTATATAAGACCCAGCCCTCTAGACTGTAGTGCCCAGCTATATAAGACCCAGACTTCTAGACTGTAGTGCCCAGCTATACAAGACCCAGCCTTCTAGACCTGTAGTGCCCAGCTATATAAGACCCAGCCTTCTAGACCTGTAATGTCCAGCTATATAAGACCCAGCCTTCTAGACTTGTAGTGCCCAGCTATATAAGACCCAGCCTTCTAGACCTGTAGTGCCCAGCTATATAAGACCCAGCCCTCTAGACTGTAGTGCCCAGCTATATAAGACCCAGCCCTCTAGACTGTAGTGCCCAGCTATATAAGACCCAGACTTCTAGACTGTAGTGCCCAGCTATACAAGACCCAGCCTTCTAGACCTGTAGTGCCCAGCTATATAAGACCCAGACTTCTAGACCTGTAGTGCCCAGCTATATAAGACCCAGACTTCTAGACCTGTAGTGCCCAGCTATATAAGACCCAGCCTTCTAGACCTGTAGTGCCCAGCTATATAAGACCCAGCCTTCTAGACCTGTAGTGCCCAGCTATATAAGACCCAGCCTTCTAGACCTGTAGTGCCCAGCTATATAAGACCCAGCCCTCTAGACTGTAGTGCCCAGCTATATAAGACCCAGCCCTCTAGACTGTAGTGCCCAGCTATATAAGACCCAGACTTCTAGACTGTAGTGCCCAGCTATACAAGACCCAGCCTTCTAGACCTGTAGTGCCCAGCTATATAAGACCCAGCCTTCTAGACCTGTAATGTCCAGCTATATAAGACCCAGCCTTCTAGACTTGTAGTGCCCAGCTATATAAGACCCAGCCTTCTAGACCTGTAGTGCCCAGCTATATAAGACCCAGCCCTCTAGACTGTAGTGCCCAGCTATATAAGACCCAGCCCTCTAGACTGTAGTGCCCAGCTATATAAGACCCAGACTTCTAGACTGTAGTGCCCAGCTATACAAGACCCAGCCTTCTAGACCTGTAGTGCCCAGCTATATAAGACCCAGACTTCTAGACTGTAGTGCCCAGCTATATAAGACCCAGACTTCTAGACCTGTAGTGCCCAGCTATATAAGACCCAGACTTCTAGACTGTAGTGACCAGCTATATAAGACCCAGCCTTCTAGACTGTAGTGCCCAGCTATATAAGACCCAGACTTCTAGACTGTAGTGCCCAGCTATATAAGACCCAGACTTCTAGACTGGTAGTGCCCAGCTATATAAGACCCAGCCTTCTAGACTGTAGTGCCCAGCTATATAAGACCCAGACTTCTAGACTGTAGTGCCCAGCTATATAAGACCCAGACTTCTAGACTGTAGTGCCCAGCTATATAAGACCCAGCCTTCTAGACTGTAGTGCCCAGCTATATAAGACCCAGCCTTCTAGACTGTAGTGCCCAGCTATATAAGACCCAGCCTTCTAGACTGTAGTGCCCAGCTATATAAGACCCAGACTTCTAGACCTGTAGTGCCCAGCTATATAAGACCCAGACTTCTAGATCTGTAGTGCCCAGCTATATAAGACCCAGACTTCTAGACCTGTAGTGCCCAGCTATATAAGACCCAGACTTCTAGACTGTAGTGCCCAGCTATATAAGACCCAGACTTCTAGACCTGTAGTGCCCAGCTATATAAGACCCAGACTTCTAGACCTGTAGTGCCCAGCTATATAAGACCCAGACTTCTAGACCTGTAGTGCCCAGCTATATAAGACCCAGACTTCTAGACCTGTAGTGCCCAGCTATATAAGACCCAGACTTCTAGACTGTAGTGCCCAGCTATATAAGACCCAGACTTCTAGACCCATAGTGCCCAGCTATATAAGATTGTGGATCCATCTTCTGTTTGAAGCTCTGCTATGGACTCCCAAGTAAAGTCAATGTAAATTACTCTTTTTTTCCATGCCCTAAGGCATATTATATAGAAAATACAGCTTTGATGAAGAACTAATTTTGAATTGTGGATATTTTTTTATAATGAATTATTCATGTAGATTTTAAAAATTCCATACAGGCTTATGGAATTGTGTGGAAAGCAATTGACAGACGCTCTGGAGAGGTGGTTGCGGTTAAAAAGATATTTGATGCTTTCAGGAACCAGACTGATGCCCAGGTAAGTAACGTAGTGTATGATGTTTCTATAAACTTAACTGATGCCCAGGTAAGTCAAGTAGTGTGTGGTGTTTATGTAAAAAGATGGCGTTGAACCATGTATAAATGTAGCATCAATAGAATTTATACAGAATGTCTACAGTCAAGATTTTTAGAGAGATGTGAATTCCTACACCTTTAGCCAGGACATAGGAAGATGAGAGATACTGATGAAATATCATTGGATGTCGTCTTTAAATGCATGCAGTAATGATGTTGATGATGATAACCATAAACTGTTTATGACAGCACTTTGTTACTGTCATATGAGATGCTGTCATTGTCTGCTGGGTATGGAATGAGCAGCCGTGGCAGCAAATATTGGTCACAATCGGACACAGATGATCCTCCATGCCAGGATGACAAACTGTCCAGCATCTTCTCTCTTCATCCTCCTCTGTCTCTTCTCCTCTCCAGCTTTCCCACCATTGTCCTGTTTTCTCCCTCTCGTGATATGACCAGAAAATATAGATTTCTCCTTCTGATGTGGGAAATAAGTTTCTTTCAAGACATCCTCATTACTCTTTTTATCTGTCTAGGGTATTTTCATCATTTGTCTTAAAAACCACATCTCTGTCACTGGTAAAGAAAGACTTTATCGAATATTTTTCATTGTGTAAAATGCTGTCATTGCTTGAACTATTATATTTTTACTTCTTGTATACATCTTCGATCTGCTGTTATCGTGGTCCCTCTGCTTCATTGAGGCTGCACACTTGTTAAAGGAGTTTAGGTTCTTGGTGAATCTTCATTGAGGCTGCACACTTGTTAAAGGAGTTTAGGTTTTTGTTGAATCTTCATTGAGGCTGCACACTTTTTTAAAGGAGTTTATGTTTTTGTTGAATCTTCAGCGCACATTCAGAGAGATTATGTTCCTGCAAGAGTTTGGTGACCACCCAAATGTCATTAAACTGCACAATGTGATTAAAGCAGAGAATGACAAGGACATCTATCTAGTTTTTGAATTTATGGGTAAGTTATCACATAGATTTTCTGATTTCACAATGGACATCATAACACACTGGGCATACCCATAGATGCTCAGTCAACCTTAGCAAATGTCTTATGGTGTAGATAATAACCGTTTCCTTAGCACACTGATTATGCAACACGTTGGTCTCCTCAGATATGTCCCTCCTTGCCAGTAATTGTTATCATATATTTACTTAGTCTTTAGATATTTATGTGTAGTTTCAAAGACAAATCATTCAAATAACTGAATTTAAACTTCAACTATATGTGAAAACCTACTGAGACATCTTTAGAATGGTGGGAATAACACCATTAATTAGATTTATTGAAAAAAAACAAAGACTGAAATGTTTTGGCCACCTGGTGAGATTTAACCCAGCATCAACGGTTGCAAGATGAGAATGGAAACATCAAGAAGCAGAGGAAGGCTGAGAAGAATATGGATGAATTAAAGAAAAAACCAGCTTAAACTCAACAATATCACTATGCAGCACGCTAATGAACGGGAACTATCCTGGAAACTGATCGTTAGCCTTATCTGCGGCAGCTAACGGCATTAAGCAGTAAATGGATAGAATGAGACAGACAAATCCGGCACCAGACATTGGAAAATCCCGCATCCTTCAGAAGTTCACCACGGCTAATTTGTGTTTATTTATGCCACATGTAGACAAAACTAGTCATCTCAAGGTCATAAAATATCCACTTCCTGTGCCTACAGAGACTGACCTCCACAATGTGATTAAGCGAGGGAACATCTTGAAGGATGTACACAAACAGTATGTTATGTACCAGCTGTTCAAGTCTATGAAGTATTTACACAGTGGCAACGTTATCCACAGGGACCTTAAAGTATGCTCTCTGTTTGTTTTTTGTTTGTTTATTGTTTAACACTGTCACATTTCAGTCCCAGGCAGGTAACACATTGATTCCTAAATACTTTTTTCCTACAGTAATGGCTAGATCCAAAATTGTTTAGTTAACAACACTCGAGGGGCACAAGTGTTAAAATAACATTTGAACAAGCATGGATGATTATGACAGTTACAATGTTAACACAGTGTTTAGAACAGCATGTCATGTCATGAGTAACCAGTAACTGCATGGTGGGTTGGTTGGGACTGAAAGAGGTAATAGTTTTATAAACAAAATCCAGGTACTGCAGAACTGTGATCATTTCTGGTCTAGATGTGTAGACACACACCAGTGGCAGTATCTACCACACCAGTGACAGTATCATCCACACCAGTGGCAGTATCATCCACACCAGTGGCAGTATCTACCACACAAGTGGCAGTATCTACCACACCAGTGGCAGTATCTACCACACCAGTGGCAGTATCTACCACACCAGTGGCAGTATCTACCACACCAGTGGCAGTATCATCCACACCAGTGGCAGTATCTACCACACCAGTGGCAGTATCTACCACACCAGTGGCAGTATCTACCACACCAGTGGCAGTATCTACCACACCAGTGACAGTATCTACCACACCAGTGGCAGTATCATCCACACCAGTGGCAGTATCTACCACACCAGTGGCAGTATCTACCACATCAGTGGCAGTATCTACCACACCAGTGGCAGTATCTACCACATCAGTGGCAGTATCTACCACACCAGTGGCAGTATCTACCACACCAGTGGCAGTATCTACCACACCAGTGGCAGTATGTACCACATCAGTGGCAGTATCTACCACACCAGTGGCAGTATCTACCACACCAGTGACAGTATCTACCACACCAGTGGCAGTATCTACCATAGTACCCTCTCTTTTTCCTACCCAAGTTGTCATTTATATCCTTTTTCCATCTTCGTGCTGGTCGGCCCCTGTCCCTCTTTCCTTGTACCATGCACTGCTATTCTCTCCAGTCTGCTGTGGCGCTTAATATCGGCAGAATATTTCAGTTTCTGAGACAAGATTTTGTTCATTTGACAGTCTTCCTCAATGTTCAGATCTTCTAGGGTGTCAGTATTTCTTTTCTTCTTCTGAGAGTCTTGGACTGCATCACAGTCACTACCAAAGAAAATGGAATGAAATGTTTCAGAAACATTCTTAGAGTACCCTACTATATATATATATATATATATATAATATATATATATATATATATATATATATATATATATATATATATATATATATATATATATATATATATATATATATATATATATATATATACACAAAACAGTTTTAACATTTTGTAATGTATATTTATTATTGCTGTTCACTATGTAAATAAATGCTAAAATAATATTTAGTCCGTCATAAAACCGTTAAAGATTGATTCTAGTTTAGTTAAATAAAATTATTCCTTCTTTTACAGCCATCCAATATTTTGGTAGACAGCGAGTGTGCCGTGAAATTGTGTGACTTTGGGCTTGCCAGGTCATTGACACAGATCGCTATGGATGATGCAGGTGACCCTAATTTGACAGAATATGTAGCCACAAGGTGGTATCGAGCGCCTGAAATTCTGTTGGCATCTCACAAGTAAGATTGGGCTAATGAATATTCAGTTGTTGTTTTCTAGTATGTCTAGAAATGAATTGGTAAAAACACAGTTCTTGTGTAAACATAGTAGACTGGATTGTTTGAGTGGCTGTCTGACTAATTACGTTGATTTATTTTTTGGCTTATTATTCAAGGTATTGTCTATTTCATCATTATGATCAAGTGTCTTGCCGACTGGCATAAGCAATCATAACTCTCTACAACCTGCAATCTCCAATGGCATGAATGAGTTCAATGAGTTCATGTGCTGACACCCCTCCATGCCATGACGAAACTCTGTCAAGAATCTTTTTCTGTTGTCTTCCTCTGCCTCTCTTTCCACATATATTTCCAGTGGCTACTACATGTTCCAGTTTCCCTCTTTTCATACCATGGCTAAAAATGATCGCTGTCTCCTTCTGATGTTTGTGATAAGTTATCTTCCTTCTGAATTTTGTGATAAGTTATCTTCCTTCTGATGTTTGTGATAAGTTGTCTTCCTTCTGATGTTTTTGAAAAGTAATCTTCCTTCTGATGTTTGTGATAAGTTATCTTCCTTCTGATGTTTGTGATAAGTTATCTTCCTTCTGATGTTTGTGATAAGTTGTCTTCCTTCTGATGTTTGTGATAAGTTGTCTTCCTTCTGATGTTTTTGATAAGTTATCTTCCTTCTGATGTTTGTGATAAGTTAGCTTCCTTCTGATGTTTGTGATAAGTTATCTTCCTTCTGATGTTTGTGATAAGTTGTCTTCAGGTCCTCACCACTTTTATCATGGTTACTCATTTTGGCTGTCCAAGGAATTCTTAGGATTCTTCTGTAAAACCACAACTACGAGGCCTCAAGAAATTGTTTGGCTTGGGTATTAACTGTCCAGCATTCACAGCTATATAGTACTGGTGAGGTTCCTGATGCCCATCCCAGAATCCACACATACAATAAACATTCAGTTGGCCTCAAACCACAGTTGTATACTGCCCACAATCTTTCATTTAGTGGCATATGTGGATTGAGGACATCATTCACCAGGGACACAAGCTTAGGCTACCCACAATCTTTCATTTAGTGGCATATGTGGATTGAGGACATCATTCACCAGGGACGCAAGCTTAGGCTACCCACAATCTTTCATTTAGTGGCATATGTGGATTGAGGACATCATTCACCAGGGACACAAGCTTAGGCTACCCACAATCTTTCATTTAGTGGCATATGTGGATTAAGGACATCATTCACCAGGGACACAAGCATATACTGCCCACAATCTTTCATTTAGTGGCATATATGGATTGAGAACATCATTCACCAGGGACACAAGCGTATACTGCCCACAATCCCACATTTAGTAACTGGTGTGAATTAAGTAAAGGGACATCATCCACACGTGCATAAATCAATATATTGATAGACTGATCCATCTTTGATAAGTTGATTGTTATACACTGGGTTGTAAAAATTTGCTTGTTTATCAGTTTGGTGTGAATTGCTTGTTTATCAGTTTGTTATGAATTGCTTTTTTTTTAAATCACTTGGTGTGGATTGCTTGTTTATCGGCTGATGTTCTCTTATAGGTACACCAAGGGTGTGGACATGTGGAGCTTAGGCTGTATCCTGGGTGAAATGTTGCTAGGGAAGCCATTGTTCCCTGGATCCTCCACCCTCAACCAGATCGAGAGAATCATGGCCTCCATTCCTCCTCCATCTAGAGCTGGTTAGTTAGATGCAAACAGAATGGCGACTAGAGAGTCTATGTTTGTTAAAGTGGGGACAAAGAATCTGTGTTTGTTAAAGTGGGGACAAAGAATCTATGTTTGTTAAAGAGGGGCCTAAGAATATATGTTTGTTAAAGTGGGGACAAAGAATCTGTGGTTGTTAAAGTGGGGTCTAAGAATATGTTTGTTAAAGTGGGGACAAAGAATCTGTGTTTGTTAAAGTGGGGACAAAGAATCTATGTTTGATAAAGTGGGAACAAAGAATCTATGTTTGTTAAACTTGGGTCTAGGAATATAAGTTTGTTAAAGTTGGGTCTAAGAATATATGTTTGTTAAAGTGGGGACAAAGAATCTATGTTGGTTAAAGTGAGGTCTAAGAATACCTATTTGTTAAAGTGGGGACAAAGAATCTGTGTTTTTTTTAAGTGGGGATAAAGAATCTATGTTTGTTAAAGAGGGGACAAAGAATATTAAAAGTAGGGAGAGAATCTTTGTTTGTTAAAATTTTTATAGTCCATGTGGAATTAGTAGGTATGTCCATTTCCAGCCTTCTGTCTCGTGTATCTTAAGTCAGTTCTTACACAGATGATCTTCCAGACCATGATATCGGATTGCTCAACATTGTCTCTCTTGATATCCTTCGGCCTTTTTCCCCCTTAACTTTCTAGCTGTCATGGTGTACTCCAGTTTTCTCCTTGTCATGACATGGCACAAAATGTGGACTGTCTCCTTCTGATGTGGGCAATCAGTTCTCTTCATGAGTTAGTTTCTTTCAAGACATCTTCTTTACCTGATGTGTTTAACAAATGTTAATGCAACTTCTTCAAATGTAAATAACCAGTTTTCTTTGTGAGTTAACCTGCATTGTGCTTTTTATCTGTACTTGGTATCCTCATCATTTCTCTATGAATATCACATCCTGCAGCTTTCACATCATTTCTCACTGATCTGCCAATTGTACCATGATTCACATCTCCGCATCAGAATTGGCTTCTTATAACCTCTAAGACCTTTTCTTCTTACTTTAGTTGAACAAGACATATTGCATAGAATATTCTGTTATCAAGGTATTCAAATACACGAATCTATTGACTTGCTTCATACCAGTCTTTTTTTACTTTGATAGTTTAGCTAAATCTAGTCACTTCCGGTTGTGACACAATCCCATCAATGCCGATATATCGCCATGTCTGTGGTAACCTGTTCCAGAAAAATGTAATGAATTCCTTTGGATGTGTGTATGCCTGGCCATTATTTAATAGACCAGGATATGAATATAGTAACTATATAGGGGGTTTCCTCATATCCCAGTGGCTTTTTTAAAGCCAATTTGGTGTCAGATTTCCCATAAAACCAGAAATTAGGTCATTGGATCACAGCATGAGTCCGCTGATACATTTGGGAAACAAGGGGAAAAGGGGGGGGGGGGGGGGGGGGGGGGTCTGGGAAATGTATTCCATTTAATGCTTCACTCTGTTCATATTTATTAATTACTCCTTTATTTATGTTTATAAAAATTTTTTTTTTTTTTTCAAATTATTAATGGCCTGTGTAACATTGTTGTTTTTTTAAAAGGATTGTTTTCTTCTGGGAATTTCCACATATTTTTGACCTAGATTTGTTAACATTGTGGGGCAGAAGGGTTAACAATGGCTTGTACACTGTCCCTGAAACTTCAAGGGTGTAAACATTCAAGGAAGGACAAATACTTTAAATATATCAAACATGGTGAACACTGTCTTCGACAACTAAAAAATAAATTGTGTAGTCTCCACAAAAGAGGTTGACTGCAATGTACTCACTGCTAACTTTAGAAACATTCAAGATGAGGCCCCAATCTCTTCCACAGTGCACCTCTTGTGCCAGGTTGTAACCATTAAACCTTACAATGAAGACAACTGATGAAAGGAGCAATCATATTATCATCACTGAGTCTGTCTTGTATTGATGTCCTCAGATATCGAGAGCTTGAAGTCTGCATATGGTGCTTCGGTGTTAGATAAGGCAGCTTCTGCGGTGGGAAGGTAATGTTGGCGCCTGCTAGTTTATCTGCTTGTGACATTCTCAATTTGAACTAGAACTGACAAAATGTCAGAATTGTCTGAATTGAAAGACTTTGATTTAGCAATAACTTGTTGTTTATAGGTTGAGGTCATCTGAGTTGAGAACCTACATCGTAGTGCTCAGGATATTCCCATAAACAATCTGCTCTTATCTTCAGCAGTCAGAGAAGAGTTTTTAGTGCTCATGTAATTTAAACATTTAGTAATCTAAATATTTTGAAGGGTGCTTTGACATTTAAAAAAAAAGTAAAACCAGAAAGAGGCATTTGTAATTTTTGGGGGGCCACTTTATAAGAATAGAAAAGTTAGAAAAATGTTTTAAAACTGGCAAGATCTTTGGAAAGTTTTAAAGAGAACCTATGTTGGCGACCTAAAGTTAAGTCTTGTGTGGGGATGGAGAGTGCTAAGAAAGGACTTTCATTGAATATTAAGAAAACAGAAGTAATGGTTATATCAAGGAAAAAGATAATACCACATTGTGATATCTCAATTGAAGGAAAAAGACTTAACCAAGTCAATAAATTCAAATATCAGGGAACAATCATATCATCAGATGGAAAATGTGTGACAGAGATTAAAAACAGAATAGGTCAAGCGAAAGCTGTATTTCAGAAAATGAAAAATATTTTATGCAATAAATCGCTCTCATTTAATGTCAAAAAGAGGGTGCTAAAATGTTACATAGAACCTGTTCTGCTGTATGGCAGTAAATCTTGGAATGTCAGTGAACAAATTAAGAAGAATTTGGAAGCAACAGAGATGTGGTTTCTGAGACGAATTCTACGAATACCTTGGACAGCCAGAGTAACTAACAACGGTTGTTTGACAGAAGCTAATGAAAATAGATCCCTGTATACTACAATAAGAAAGAGACAAACACTGTTCTTTGGCCACATAATGAGAAGAGAGACATTGGAGAACATCGTGACAACTGGAAAGATCAGTGGAAAAAGAGGTCAAGGCCGACCAAGAGAGATGATGCTGGATGGGCTGAAATGATGGCATGGAGGAATATCATCAAGAGGAATCATGATCTGTGGAGACGCATGAGCACCTACGCCAGTTGGCAGGGCACTAGATGATTATAATGACCTATAGTTATGACATAGAAAAGTGTTGGCACATAACTAGAGACATTCTGTTCAGAGGCTTGATCACCAGTGCAAGTCTGCAAGTTTCTTGATGATAGTTTAGAGAAAAGTGGCTTTCAAAGATGTCAAAGGGCCTGACTCACACATCATGGGACACAAATTTCAATTTCTGTAAAGTTCAGGAGTCTTAATAAAAGCTAACAGAAATACCTAACACCTGCTTGAGCAAGCAACCGTTATTCTGTAGCCTAAGATGAGGAGTCTAAATAAAGGCTAACAGATATACTACCTGGCTACTGCTTGAGCAAGCAACTGTTATTCTGTAGCCTGAGATGAGGAGTCTAAATAAAGGCTAACAGATATACTACCTGGCTACTGCTTGAGCAAGCAACCATTATTCTGTAGCCTGAGATGAGGAGTCTAAATAAAAGCTAACAGATATACTACCTGGCTACTGCTTGAGCAAGCAACTGTTATTCTGTAGCCTGAGATGAGGAGTCTGGTAGACGCCATCAAATGTTTAGATGTAATCATGAAATCAGACAACAAAAAAAGGGTAGAAAACAGGTTAAAAAAACGGTTGTGACAATCAGACATAGTTTTTCAGGGTAAAAGTGGAAAGGTCATTTTTAGCACTGGAATTATTATCATTAAATATTTGTGTGTGTGTGTGTGTAAATCAGAGTAATTCTTATTCTGCATTTGCAAAATACAATGATATGCTTTTCAGCTAGGCTGTGATATCTGCATGTTTTGGTCCAGCATATCTGATTTCATCACAGGAATAATTCTTTTTTAGATTTTCACTGGAAACAATTATAGGGCGTTGGAAGGTCATAATACACTGAGATATGAAAGATGTCATAAGTATTAAATGTCGTAGGTATTAAATGTCGTTTGCTGTAGAATGTGAAATCATTGTTGTCAGTTCTAGGCGGGGTGTACAGCAGAGCTTTGACTGGCAAGCTTGTTTGCCTACCCCAGGGTCTTTTATTCAAACCCCACCCATGTGTGGATTTAAACACAAACATTAACATGGACTCTAATGTCGGCTCTGTCTAAAATGTATAACAGAAAAAGCCATGGGAAATAAAGGCGACTAGTATAATATTCATCAGCTATCACGGGCTAATTGATCTATAAAAAATATGAGGCTTTTGCTCAGTATATCGAAAGAAATGTAAAGAGTTCTTTATTTGACATTTTCATTCTAGCACTCTTATTCAACAGAACTTTAAATCTCAAACAGTTTAGCTCTTGGTTTGTCAGGTAGTATCTTTGAGTGAAGTCTTGGTTTGTCAGGTAGTATCTTTGAGTGAAGTCTTGGTTTGTCAGGTAGTATCTTTGAGTGAAGTCTTGGTTTGTCAGGTAGTATCTTTGAGTGAAGTCTTGGTTTGTCAGGTAGTATCTTTGAGTGAAGTCTTGGTTTGTCAGGTAGTATCTTTGAGTGAAGTCTCATCTCTATATTGGCAGACACAGGAAACCATTTGATGACCTGCTGCCAGATGCTCCGGCTGATGGCATAGACCTGATGAAGAAACTGTTGCATTTCAATCCAAACAAAAGAATTACTGCTGATGAAGCTTTAAGACATCCCTATGTTCGAAGGTAATTGGTTTGTTAAATGTTAAAGCCATGTTTTATTTTATTTTAACTTTCTTGACCGGTGCATTACTGTCTCCCATTACCAAGGATTTTTTTTAAAAACTAATAAAATCCATTAAACAATCAGAAACGAGAGTAGGGTTTTGAAACCTTCAGAGCATAATTGTGAATGGTTGCTACAAATGAAAAAAGGTATATTATGCAAATATATCACATGATCAGGTGGCCATCATCAATTTGTTTGGCTATTTATAGAAATGTCAGGAGATGTTTTGAAACCATCTTTTTCTAGTTTTTAGTGAATTTGTTCAATGTAAGTATGATAAAATGTTTAGGAAATGGTTGGTGAATAAAATAAACTAAAAAGAAGCAATAATTAAACAGTTGACCAAATATTTCGACATTAAATAAAAATTAATAATAAAAATTTGAATAAAGTGAGAAAAAAATTCTGTTTGTCAGTTGTGTTTACTTGTTATGTTACAATGAGCTTCTGTGAATGCTTTGTTAGTTGTGTTTACTTGTTATGTTACAATGAGCTTCTGTGAATGCTTTGTTAGTTGTGTTTACTTGTTATGTTACAATGAGCTTCTGTGAATGCTTTGTCAGTTGTGTTTACTTGTTATGTTACAATGAGCTTCTGTGAATGCTTTGTCAGTTGTGTTTACTTGTTATGTTACAATGAGCTTCTGTGAATGCTTTGTTAGTTGTGTTTACTTGTTATGTTACAATGAGCTTCTGTGAATGCTTTGTCAGTTGTGTTTACTTGTTATGTTACAATGAGCTTCTGTGAATGCTTTGTCAGTTGTGTTTACTTGTTATGTTACAATGAGCTTCTGTGAATGCTTTGTCAGTTGTGTTTACTTGTTATGTTACAATGAGCTTCTGTGAATGCTTTGTTAGTTGTGTTTACTTGTTATGTTACAATGAGCATCTGTGAATGCTTTGTCAGTTGTGTTTACTTGTTATGTTACAATGAGCATCTGTGAATGCTTTGTTAGTTGTGTTTACTTGTTATGTTACAATGAGCATCTGTGAATGCTCTGTTAGTTGTGTTTACTTGTTATGTTACAATGAGCATCTGTGAATGCTTGATTATAAAAACACCTTGTATCAGCTCAAGGCAATGCCAGTCGTAGGCACAACCATCTTGGAATAACAAAAATACCTGAAGGAAGCTCAATTTGAAAACTTTTGATAAGGTCGTCTGTTTGCAGTCTACATGTCGCGAATTAGCCGCTCGCCCAAGTTGTTCACCAAGGGATATGTCAGAAAATTGGCCGATCATCAAAGTTGGTCATTAAAGTGTTTGAACAATTAAAAATATTAATAAACTGTCAACATCACACATGCACATTCAGGCATGCCATTAAGAGAGAGATAATTGGCTAGAGAAAGAGAGACATTCAGACATGCCATGAAGAGAGATAATTGGCTAGAGAAAGAGAGACATTCAGACATGCCATGAAGAGAGATAATTGGCTAGAGAAAGAGAGACATTCAGGCATACCATGAAGAGAGATAATTGGCTAGAGAAAGAGAGACATTCAGGCATGCCATGAAGAGAGATAATTGGCTAGAGAAAGAGACATTCAGGCATGCCATGAAGAGAGATAATTGGCTAGAGAAAGAGAGACATTCAGGCATGCCATGAAGAGAGATAATTGGCTAGAGAAAGAGAGACAATTAGGCATACCATGAAGAGACCGGTTTTGAGAAAGTTTTATTTGTTTGGTAATTTTACATCAATTTTGTTCTACTGTTAACTATGCCCAACAATGGCGAAAAGGACTGTTGTGTCCCAGATCAGGTATGTGAAGAAGAAAAGGGAGAGTTATGATCTCTGTAATGTCTGCCCCAGATCAAGCATGCAAAGAAGAAAAGGGAGAGTTATGATCTCTATAATGTCTGCCCCAGATCAAGCATGCAAAGAAGAAAAGGGAGAGTTATGATCTCTATAATGTCTGCCCCAGATCAGGCATGTAAAGAAGAAAAGGGAGAGTTATGATCTCTATAATGTCTGCCCCAGATCAAGCATGCAAAGAAGAAAAGGAAGAGTTAGGATCTCTATAATGTCTGCCCCAGATCAAGCATGCAAAGAAGAAAAGGGAGAGTTATGATCTTTATAATGTCTGCTCCAGAACAGGCATGTGACAAAGAACAAGAAAATTCAAGATATAAATTAATTCTTTGTGTATTGCAGATTTCACAACCCATCAGGGGAGATCAGTCTCAACTTTGATGTGCTTCCTCCACTTAGTGATGATGTACAGTTAACTGTGGATGAGTACAGAAGCAAACTATATGAGGTCAGTGTGTCATTTGTTTCTTCATTGACTTCTTTGTCTTTTCTCATTGAACAATTGTCAGAGATTCTGAAGTTCTTCTTTGGGTTAATAAACTCAATACAACTGTCATACAGTCAAACAAGGTTTCTCCAACTTGCTTCTGTTGTATTCTCATCTGAATATTTCACTTACCGGGTATCAGCTTCAGGTCCCAGAGAGAGAAGAAATTTAAAAAAAGAACAAACTAGATTCCAGGGACAGTACATGCAAGGGCAAGTCAGGTCATTGAATGACTAGATCTGAGAGACAGTACGTGCAAGTCAGGTCCTTGAATGACTAGATCTGAGAGACAGTACATGCAAGTGCAAGTCAAGTCCTTGAATGACTAGATCTGAGAGACAGTACATGCAAGTGCAAGTCCTTGAATGACTAGATCTGAGGGACAGTACGTGCAAGTCAGGTCCTTGAATGACTAGATCTGAGAGACAGTACATGCAAGTGCAAGTCAGGTCCTTGAATGACTAGATCTGAGAGACAGTACATGCAAGTGCAAGTCAGGTCCTTGAATGACTAGATCTGAGAGACAGTACGTGCAAGTCAGGTCCTTGAATGACTAGATCTGAGAGACAGTACATGCAAGTGCAAGTCAGTTCCTTGAATGACTAGATCTGAGAGACAGTACGTGCAAGTCAGGTCCTTGAATGACTAGATCTGAGAGACAGTACATGCAAGTGCAAGTCAGGTCCTTGAATGACTAGATCTGAGAGACAGTACATGCAAGTCAAGTCCTTGAATGACTAGATCTGAGAGACAGTACGTGCAAGTCAGGTCCTTGAATGACTAGATCTGAGAGACAGTACGTGCAAGTCAGGTCCTTGAATGACAAGATCTGAGAGACAGTACATGCAAGGGCAAGTCAGGTCCTTGAATGACTAGATCTGAGAGACAGTACCTGCAAGTGCAAGTCCTTGAATGACTAGATCTGAGAGACAGTACGTGCAAGTCAGGTCCTTGAATGACTAGATCTGAGAGACAGTACGTGCAAGTCAGGTCCTTGAATGACAAGATCTAAGAGACAGTACATGCAAGTTAAGTGCAAGTCAGGTCCTTGAATGACAAGATCTGAGAGACAGTACGTGCAAGTCAGGTCCTTGAATGACTAGATCTGAGAGACAGTACATGCAAGGGCAAGTCAGGTCCTTGAATGACTAGATCTGAGAGACAGTACATGCAAGGGCAAGTCAGGTCCTTGAATGACAAGATCTGAGAGACAGTACATGCAAGTGCAAGTCAGGTCCTTGAATGACTAGATCTGAGAGACAGTACATGCAAGTGCAAGTCCTTGAATGACTAGATCTGAGAGACAGTACGTGCAAGTCAGGTCCTTGAATGACTAGATCTGAGAGAGGTTACAGTCAACATGTGTGAGCACTGGTTTAAAGGTTAAAAGTTACAGTCAACATGTGTGAGCACTGGTTAAAAGGTTAAAGGTTACAGTCAACATGTGTGAGCACTGGTTTAAAGGTTACAGTCAACATGTGTGAGCACTGGTTAAAAGGTTAACGGTTACAGTCAACATGTGTGAGCACTGGTTTAAAGGGTAACGGTTACAGTCAAAATGTGTGAGCACTGGTTTAAAGGTTACAGTCAACATGTGTGAGCACTGGTTTAAAGGTTAAAGGTTACAGTCAAGAGGACCGACTTCATTGCTTCAGTATTTTTCTGTATGGCTCAGTCTCTCTCTGCAGAACAGCTAGCCACCTGCTGAGAGCGTAGCACAAAGCACAAAAGTCTGTAACTACACCAGACATATCGATCAAAACTGCGCTACAGAACTGAATGGTGCATCTGTGTCATGAACCCAGCACCTTCATGGTGCAAGGGAAGCAGCTGGACCACTACCACTTTGTCATAAGGATCCCCACTGTTTAAAAGAATTAAATCAAAAGAAAAGTGCTTAGTGTAATGCTCCTCTACGTTTGCTTCATCAACGTGCAAATGCATGGTCTTGCCCAGGGAGACAACTGTATTTGTAATGTCAGTTTTGATTTCAGCTCCTTCTATTGCACTTCCTCTGACACAGTCGGGACATTTTTTTTTGTCTAGGCTGATTTTAGAGTTCTCACAGAAACATCTTCCTATGGCTGATTAAATAAGACAATGTAAAATATTGAAGTGATTCTTCCAGAATTCCCTTAGAGTTAATTCTCTCTCGGTGATATCTTTGAAACATATTTTTATTTTTTTTTTTAAGTTGGAGATAACACTTTAATCCATTTGTTGCAGGAATGATGTGGTACTGTTCCTCCAAATCTTCTTGCAACTGTGGAGTGCTGGTGCATTGTCCATTGTAAGAAGAACTTTCTCAGGCATACATTTTTCTTGTAGATACTGTTTCACTGTGAGAGCAAAGACCTTTATCATCCACTCACAGAAGAATTGCCTGGTTACCCACACTCTGCTCTTACTTTTCCACATAGAGTTCAGTTTGTGTCTGTTGGAGGGAAAGAGAGGGAGACTGAGAGAGAAGATGCTGGACAGTTTAACATCATGTTTAACATCTGTGTCAGAGCTGGTTGAAAGTACATGAAACACATGGTTCTGAATAGACTTGACTACCAGTGCCACATGGCATGGAAGATCATCTGTGTCAGAGCTGGTTGAAAGTACATGAAACACATGGCATGGAAGATCATCTGTGTCAGAGCTGGTTGAAAGTACATGAAACACATGGTTCTGAATAGACTTGACTACCAGTGCCACATGGCATGGAAAATCATCTGTGTCAGAGCTGGTTGAAAGTACATAAAACACATGGTTCTGAATAAGCATGACTACCAGTGCCACATGGCATGGACTGTAAGAAGAAGTGAACGATGAGAAACATAATAAAGGTAAAAAGAAAAGCAGTAGTATCAGTGCTGATTAATCTTGCTACTCTTCAGTCAGTCTGTAGTGTTTTTCTTTGTAGATATTGCTGATGTTAATCACCTTGTACTAACTGTAACGTTGTTATGTAATATTTTATCCAATGCAGATGATTATTCAGAAAAAAGCTGAAAGACGAAGAAGGCGAAGAGAGGAGGCAAGGAGCGCGGCAAGACGTCAAGAGACATCCTATGATCATGATGATCTCCCTGCTGACCATATTTCTGAAGAAAACAACAGCTCATCGCCCAAACAACCATCACCAAAACTGGCACACAGACATGGCCAGACACCTGACCAGCCCTCTCACCAACAGTCTTCATTTTCAGGTCTGAACTCTCAAACTCTCTTATTGCATTTTCCTGGCTTTTGACATTTATGTATCTTGTCTAGTTTATTTGCATCTATTCCTGTGAAGCCAAGTCTTATCTTTTCTCATCTAATCTAGTTTTATATTTTGGTTTGATGGCATCTTGTCTGATTAATTACTCCATATAAGTTCCATAGGCTCATTCTGGTGGGAACTAGAATAGACCAATAAAACCCTAACAGTTAAGGCCATCACAGGTTACTGATTGGCTAGATCTGCACCACTGGGTGGTGATTTGCTAGATCTGCACCCCTGGGTGGTAATTGGCTAGATAAGCACCACTGGGCGGTGATTGGCTAGATCTGCACCCCTGGGTGGTGATTAGCTAGATCTACACCACTGGGTGGTGATTGGCTAGATCTGCACCCCTGGGTGGTGATTGGCTAGATCTGCACCACTGGGTGGTGATTGGCTAGATCTGCACCCCTGGGTGGTGATTGGCTAGATCTGCACCCCTGGGTGGTGATTGGCTAGATCTGCACACCTGGGTGGTGATTGGCTCGATCTGCACCACTGGGATGGGATCTGCACCCTTGGGTGGTGATTGGCTAGATCTGCACCACTGGGTGGTGATTGGCTAGATCTGCACCCCTGGGTGGTGATTGGCTAGATCTGCACCTCTGGGTGGTGATTGGCTAGATCTGCACCCCTGGGTGGTGATTGGCTAGATTTGCACCACTGGGTGGTGATTGGCTAGATCTGCACCCCTGGGTGGTGATTGGCTAGATCTGCACCACTGGGTGGTGATTGGCTAGATCTGCACCCCTGGGTGGTGATTGGCTAGATCTGCACCACTAGGCTGTTTACAAGACCAGGTAGATGTGGTCAAGGCCATTTAGGAACAAAAAGTGAAGTTAAAGGAGAAACTGGATTATTATGGCCTGAAGCGAATGATGCACCTGGGTGGGACCAGAGGGTCTGGCTGACTTTCTACACTCAGAGGAAAGGCAAAACAGACACATAACCAGACTACAACCGATACTATTGGTATTGGTACTCTGTGCTGGCTGCTAAAGATAGAGACGGAGTGCCCCAAGTGCTGGGATGTCAGTTTTTGACTCAGCTGAACTCAAGGTTATTTATCAGAGATTTGCTGAAATCACTTACGTCCACTAAAGCTGGATTTGAAAAAAAAATACTTTCATTTTCTTCTTCAGCCTTTCATTCCCCAATGCAGCAAGGGCCCTTAACCAACTCACGCCAGGTTGTCTGTACTTTGCTGTCACATTGAGCTTCTCCCATATCCTCCCTGTCTTTTTAACTTTCTTCTGTAATTTCCTTATTCATGTGTTTTTTCTGCTTTTTGCCATGCCCATGTGGGTTTCAGTTTAAAAATAATACATTAGATGGAGTCAGACAACATTTCTCCTGTTATATAATGTATTTTGCCTCACTAGGATGTTGCCTTCTGTTGTAGTCTGAGGAACACATTTCTTGTAAACTTTTGCAGCATTTGGGCGCACAAATAGTCAGGGCTACCAGGCAGTTGGATCCCATAGGCAGAAAGTCTTCTCCCGACAGCAGCTGTTAGAACATGCCCAGTCATCGCAGGCTGCCAATGGGGTAACAATATTCTTTTAACTTAAAATACACCTAGTTCTCTTACATTGTAACTGTAACTAAATAATGGTCGAGTACATTACCTGTTGGACCTTAGATAAACAAAGTACAGGACTGTGGTTAGTACATTACCTGGTGGACCTTAGATAAACAAAGTACAGGACTGGGGCTAGTACATTACCTGTTGGACCTTAGATAAACAAAGTACAGGACTGTGGTTAGTACATTACCTGTTGGACCTTAGATAAACAAAGTACAGGACTGTGGCTAGTACATTACCTGTTGGACCCCAGGTAAACAAAGTACAGGACTGTGGCTAGTACATTACCTGTTGGACCTTAGATAAACAAAGTACAGGACTGTGGCTAGTACATTACCTGTTGGACCTTAGATAAACAAAGTACAGGACTGTGGCTAGTACATTGCCTGTTGGACCTTAGATAAACAAAGTACAGGACTGTGGCTAGTACATTACCTGGTGGACCAAAGATAAACAAAGTACAGGACTGTGGCTAGTACATTACCTGGTGGACCAAAGATAAACAAAGTACAGGACTGTGGCTAGTACATTGCCTGTTGGACCTTAGATAAACAAAGTACAGGACTGTGGCTAGTACATTGCCTGTTGGACGTTAGATAAACAAAGTACAGGATTGTGGCTAGTACATTGCCTGTTGGACCTTAGATAAACAAAGTACAGGACTGTGGCTAGTACATTGCCTGTTGGACCTTAGATAAACAAAGTACAGGACTGTGGCTAGTACATTACCTGTTGGACCTTAGATAAACAAAGTACAGGACTGTGGCTAGTACATTATCTGTTGGACCTTAGATAAACAAAGTACAGGACTGTGGCTAGTACATTACCTGTTGGACCCCAGGTAAACAAAGTACAGGACTGTGGCTTGTACATTACCTGTTGGACCTTAGATAAACAAAGTACAGGACTGTGGCTAGTACATTACCTGTTGGGCCTTAGATAAACAAAGTACAGGACTGTGGCTAGTACATTACCTGTTGGACACAGGTAAACAAAGTACAGGACTGTGGCTAGTACATTACGTGTTGGACCTTAGATAAACAAAGTACAGGACTGTGGCTAGTACATTACCTGTTGGACCTTAGATAAACAAAGTACAGGACTGTGGCTAGTACATTACCTGTTGGACACAGGTAAACAAAGTACAGGACTGTGGCTAGTACATTAGGTGTTGGACCTTAGATAAACAAAGTACAGGACTGTGGCTAGTACATTACCTGTTGGACCTTAGATAAACAAAGTACAGGACTGTGGCTAGTACATTACCTGTTGGACAGAGATAAACAAAGTACAGGACTGTGGCCCAGTACAAGTACCTGTTGGACCTTAGATAAACAAAGTACAGGACTGTGGCTAGTACATTACCTGTTGGACCTTAGATAAACAAAGTACAGGACTGTGGCTAGTACATTACCTGTTGGACCTTAGATAAACAAAGTACAGGACTGTGGCTAGTACATTACCTGTTGGACACAGGTAAACAAAGCACAGGACTGTGGCTAGTACATTACCTGTTGGACCCAGGTAAACAAAGTACAGGACTGTGGCTAGTACATTACCTGTTGGACCCAGGTAAACAAAGTACAGGACTGTGGCTAGTAAATTACCTGTTGGACCTTAGCTAAACAAAGTACAGGACTGTGGCTAGTACATTACCTGTTGGACCTTAGATAAACAAAGTACAGGACTGTGGCTAGTACATTACCTGTTGAACACAGGTAAACAGAGCACAGGACTGTGGCTAGTACATTACCTGTTGGACCCAGGTAAACAAAGTACAGGACTGTGGCTAGTAAATTACCTGTTGGACCCAGGTAAACAAAGTACAGGACTGTGGCTAGTAAATTACCTGTTAGACCCAGGTAAACAAAGTACAGGACTGTGGCTAGTAAATTACCTGTTGGACCTTAGATAAACAAAGTACAGGACTGTGGCTTGTATAATCCCTGCTGGACCACAGGTAAACAATGTACAGGACCCTCCCCATACAAGTATCTGGGGTGTAAGGTGCTGGCCACAGCATACAAGTATCTGGGGTGTAAGGTGCTGGCCACATTTGACTAAAGACCATTTGGAGTTGAACAGGTGAGTGATCTATGTCTCATTGGCTGCTTGACTGACCAGCATAGTTTCTTTGGCTGGTTTCAGGTTGTTTGACCTGGAAGTCCAGGTACTTATGTTATGTTCGGGCCAGCTCCCTTGTTGTTTCAGCCAAGTTCATGCACTGTGAACAGTTCCTCTGTGTGTCGACTGTGAGAGGAGACTGGAGCACTTTGTGCAGGCAGTTATGAGTCCATAGCTTCTCAGATTCCCCTAAAAAATATACATAATTTTTCTGTGGCAATATGCCAATCCTATGCTGGTTTACAAGACTTCTCATATGTTTGGTGTGCCTCTCATGCCTTGCTGTGCAGGTCTTTACTCCTGACCTAGTTCTCGCATTCTTAGCAGTGTCAGTAAAATTGATCTGGTACCAGATCCAATGTTTGACCCTCTTATGGTTAGCCAAGCCTTTCTAGCAGCTGTTTGCGGATACCTAATGATGTGAAGTGTACGATGATGTGGTATCCATTTCTAGCACATCAATAGCTTCGCTCCCATCACTACAGTCATCAGCAGGCAACTACCAGAGGTGGCCTCTATCATCATGTGTCATCTCCACTGTGAAAGTCAGCTGACATAAGCTTCTGACACTTGGTATGTTTTTATGATGTTCCTAAACCCCTTTACAGCTTGACCTTGATCTTATTCAGTAATGCTTGCTCCAATCCATAATTGTTTTTGTTGTTGTTGTTGTTGTTGCTGGCGATGATGTTCATATAAGTTTTTTGTATAACTACATTTCCAAAGATTAAATTTTACCCTCACATTGTGTATCCATGGTCATATTTCTGCGTCACGAAATAATGAAAAGTATAATAAACATTTCATTACTCTTAATTTTTATATAATATCATATCCTTGTAATAAATCTATTTTGTTGATGTCTCTGAACCCAGGACTATCAGACACAGAAGAGCAGGCAGACCTCTGCACCAGCAGTTCTCAGAGATCAAGGGAGGCCAATCTCAGGAGCATTCCGAGCTCAAAACAATCCTGTCATCACACGAGATCTCCAGGCACCTGGAGGCAGTGGGTTAATGGTTTCAAGCTCACGAATGGTCAGTATTTTGTTTTCTTTTTTTTCTTTTGACAATAAATTGTGACAGAAAATGATGGCCACCTGAATAAATACTCCCTGGCATTAAATGTGGGGGTAGGGGGTGTTGACTTCATGCCAGGTTTTTGAGGTAAATATTCAGCAATAGCATCATCACTGATCTGCAGGAGTGTTATACATCACATAGGGCTTGTTGCCTGTTCCTCTATTGCACTCCATTCCTGTGCAGTATTTGTGATATCATGAATGGAATCCATTCCAGCATCTGATCCCTCTCATCAGCATTCATCTTAGGGTTTCTCTGATACCAGTGGTTGTCCTGATATTTCTCTCATTTCTTTATCTTATAACAGTTGATACCAGTGTTTGTCCTGATATTTCTCTGATTTGTTTATCTCATAACAGTTGATACCAGTGTTTGTCCAGATATTTCTCTGATTTCTTTAGCTTTTAACAGTTGATACCAGTGGTTGTCCAGATATTTCTCTGATTTCTTTATCTTATAACAGTTGATACCAGTGGTTGTCCAGATATTTCTCTGATTTCTTTATCTTATAACAGTTGATACCAGTGGTTGTCCAGATATTTCTCTGATTTCTTTATCTAATAACAGTTGATACCAGTGGTTGTCCAGATATTTCTCTGATTTCTTTATCTTATAACAGTTGATACCAGTGGTTGTCCAGATATTTCTCTGATTTCTTTTTCTCATAACAGTTGATACCAGTGGTTGTCCAGATATTTCTCTGATTTCTTTATCTTTTAACAGTTGATACCAGTGGTTGTCCAGATATTTCTCTGATTTCTTTATCTTATAACAGTTGAAACCAGTGGTTGTCCAGATATTTCTCTGATTTCTTTATCTTATAACAGTTGAAACCAGTGGTTGTCCTGATATTTCCCTGATTTCTTGAATTCATCCTATTCAGTTGCCTTTGTGGGTTTAGGGACTACATCTTGGGGAAACATGAGAACAGATCCACTGTGTGTCATACAAGGCAACTAATTAGAAGTGTTTCCTTTGAAGTCTGAGTGCATCTGCCTGACAGGCAAGGAACCAACAGTCTGGATATAAATTAACTAGATTTGTAAAACAGATGTGCATGCAAAAGTTCAGAAGTAGATGAACAACCAGAACTTTCTGTCAAAGGTTACAGGCGTGAACGTTGAAGAAGAAGATCCCACTCAGTTTTCATCAGTTTTCTCTTTGCATGCATTAAACTATTGTTCCAAAGGTAATAGTGAAATGCAGAAATTATCTCTCAGTCTTCAGAGCACGAGTCTAATGGCTTGAGCTTGCGCACTTCCCCACGAAGTTTCCCAGGTCCACGTTGTTTATTGGGATGGTTAGATGTGCATACCAGTGATCATATCTTCAGAGTGAGAGTCTAATGGCTTGAGCTTGAGCACTTCCCCACGAAGCTCTCAGGTCCATGTTGTTTATTGGGATGGTTAGATGTGCATACCAGTGATCATATCTCCAGAGTGAGAGTCTAATGGCTTGACCACTTCCCAGATGACAATCAGTTGTCTGTCATGTGTGCTTCTCCAGACTTTTTCTCTATTCAGTCACCTCTTGTGTTTATTTGTGAAAACCACATTTCAGATGCCAGGTCAGCGTCCAACTTCAGCCAGTCTGGCAAGAGTCAAACCTGTGTATGGACGGAAACAGTTCAGCAATGCCACAAATAACCCCAGCAGCGGGGCTCCCAAAAACTTGTTTGGCAGCTACACGCAGGCTTACGGCACCATCTCATCCACCGGACTGGCAACCATTCAGGGGAAAAAATCCTGACTAGGACAGCCACGGGCACATCAAATCTACACAGATGAGACATGTTTCTATCCACTGCCAACTCCTCCACCACGTCGGCTCCGAGAGTTATCTTCTCTGTATTCCCCGGCTCCGCCTGAAAGACATAAAGACTTGTCGCAGCCCAGTCTCATCCCTCACAGACACATGGACTTTGGTCACTACTGAAGAACATTACCACATCTGCTTCTTCTGCATATTGTCATGAAGATCTTGACCAATCTATTCTGCACATTGTCATAAAGATCTTTGACCAATCTGTTCTGCACATTGTCATAAAGATCTTGACCAATCTGTTCTGTACATTGTCATAAAGATCTTGACCAATCTGTTTGTTCTGCACATTGTCATAAAGATCTTGACCAATCTGTTCTGCACATTGTCATAAAGATCTTGACCAATATGTTTGTTCTGCACATTGTCATAAAGATCTTGACCAATCTATTCTGCACATTGTCATAAAGATCTTGACCAATCTTTTCTGCACATTGTCATAAAGATCTTGACCAATCTGTTTGTTCTGCACATTGTCATAAAGATCTTGACCAATCTGTTCTGCACATTGTCATAAAGATCTTGACCAATCTGTTCTGCACATTGTCATAAAGATCTTGACCAATCTGTTTGTTCTGCACATTGTCATAAAGATCTTGACCAGTCTGTTCTGTACATTGTCATAAAGATCTTGACCAATCTGTTCTGCATATTGTCATAAAGATCTTGACCAATCTGTTCTGCACATTGCCATAAAGATCTTGACCAATCTGTTTGTTCTGCAATTGTCATAAAGATCTTGACCAATCTGTTCTACACATTGTCATTAAGATCTTGCTTGTTCTGCACTTTGTCAGTATTTTCAACATCCAAGTATTCACAAATGATTTGCGCTGGACCAGTTAATTAGGTGTTTTTTTTTCCTAATGTTGTAAAAATGCAGGTGAAAAGTCTATTAAATGTCTTTGTATACAGCTTACTGGGATATCTCCCATCTGGCATATCAGTTGTTGTCATGCTTTGCCAGGGTGTTCAATCTAAAGACTTGTAGCAGTTTTTTGTTGTTGTTGTTGTTTATGTTGTTGACATGCAACAACTGAGGATATTTTTTTAAACTGAGCCATGCTTGCAGAACCAGCCTGTCTAAAATGTTTACCAGGCAAAGAACTGGCAATGGAGTTCTTCAGAATTATATACAAGATAGTGGAAGCAACCAGTAGTAGCAGCATTGCCCACAAATCTGTCAATTGACAAGTGATTATAATTATGTAAATAAAACTGGAAAAACCTTTTACCTGGGGTCATCTAGTTTTAGTAGGTTCATAACTCTTGCACATTTGATTACATTACCCCTGACACCTTGAAAACAGTGTTCATGATGTTTTTTTTATTTTGTTAGTATTATTTTGTTGCAGACTGTTTTGCTTTATTTTGACTTTCTGGTTAGATATTGTTACAACTTGTCAGATATCGTTTCAACAGGAATTAGAGCATTGTAAAACCTGCTTAGATATGTATTTCTAAAAAAAAACTTGTTTTTTTCTTAAACTGTATTTGTTGATTTTTCTTTGGCACTTGGTCTAAATCTTCAGAAAATAAAAAAAAAGCAAATTAGGCATTGATTTACTGTTGCTGTTTTGGTCTTGTCTGCACAATCTCAGTGGCTGATCACTCATTTCTGCCTGGATGATCTGCTTCTTCTGCCTTCATCCCCAGTGGAGCATAGGTCCTCAACCCACTTATGCCAAGCCGTGTTTATTGTTCGTGATTGGATGCAGTTTAAAGCTAATTATAGTTTTTTGTAGGTTGAGAGTAGTCAGTCCTTCAAAAAACATTCTTGGATGTTTCTTAGGACTTGTTTATCCTTGGGTTTTTCTCCATGGGATGCAGGTGCCTTGGGAAATGAGCAGGCAGATGGACTGGATGGTTGCTGCACCAGTCGTTGGTAAATTTATGCTTGACAAGCTAGATGTTGTCAAGGTCCCTTGGGAGTAAGTGAACAGTGTGGGGGCACAATTAGATCATATGGTCTGAAGAGGGAAGAAGTACAAGAGGGAGTGACCATCAATCTGGCCAACACTCGGCACTTAGTGACCATCAATCTGGCCAACACTCGACACTTAGTGACCAGGGATCGGGCCAACACTTGGAACTCAGGGATCTAGCCGACACATGGCACTCAGTGACCATTGATCTAGCCGACACTCGGCACTCAGTGAACAGGGATCTGGCCAACACTCGGAACTCAGGGATCTAGCCGATACTTGGCACTGAGTGACCATTGATCTAGCCGACATTGGGCATGTGAGGCCAGATTCATATTTTTAAAAACCAAACAGCCGTCAGTAGGTGATGTCAGCATCGCGCCGGCTTCATTTACTTTCCTGAACTTTACCTGATACCCTTTCAAGGCTGTCTCAGCCTGAAAGCCAAGGTCATGTTTGAAGAAAAAAAATGTAGTTTTTTTTGGATTTAAACTCATGACTTTTAATCCGTGAGCGAGCATCTAGCTGCTGCACAACGACAGCTCCTAATGGAATACAACTATTTATTCTTTTTCATGTAACTTGTTCTATTCTGTAGAAAAGTGTTGCGTCAGTAAGATCCGTCCATGTTCCCTTGTAAATATTAAAGTATATCCAATGTATGCAACAAGTGTTTCAGGTGGTATACCCTATCAGATGTCTTGTATGTGTGTTAGTTAATGATGTCCCTAAGTCTGCTGTCATGTTTGTTTGTAGTGAAGTCTTGTCACTGACTGACTGACTGACTGACTGACTGACTGACTGACTGACTGACTGACTGACTGACTGACTGACTGACTTTCTACCCCACCAGGACACCACACAAGTGATAAACACCTGATGACACAATGTGCCACCATGTGGGTGAGGATCACTGTGGAGAGGTCCCAGAAACCGCGTTCAGCCTTTAGGCCATATTTATGGCCCCTGGTAAGAGCCAGAGTAGGGCTTCATATAACGAAACATTTCATCCTATAAAGGACGGGAAGTATAATCTAGTCTTGTCACAGCAACTTGCACACTTATCGTCTGTGATTATTTTCTGATAAAGTTGAACAAAATCTTAACCTGCTTAGTTCGTGGCGACTGCACCAGCCATTGTGGCCTTAAGTCGCAAGACTCACAACCCTACTGTTCTACTGCCATTTAAGAGGAACTGCTACTACTGCTTGTATTGCCACTTTTGCCGTGTAGAAATATTTCAGGAAGGCTGATTTGAAATGGACTGCAGCTTCTCTGTTGCATAGGCGCTGGAAATTAAGTCCCTTGAGTCCAGCCCTAAATTTAAGGGGTGGGAGTGCAAGTGCTGTTGGAGTACTTAGAGAGCCTATTTAACCTTGCATAGAAATTGTCTTTGAAGCTATCTGTTTGTACATGTCATATTTTTTCAAGTGTAATACCATATTTATCTGCAATTGAATTACAAATAAATGTAGTAATATATTTGAGGTCACGTGTAATGTATCAACGAATAGTTTGAAAGATGATTTCTGGACATGATTAAAAGGGTTTGAGTCTCACAACCAATTTATTTTTGATTGGTTGTCGAGAGGGCCCATTTATTTTCTGTGTGCTGAGCTCCACCATCCCTCCCTCCGCAATATTTTCTTCATGGCGGTGCGCCTATTGTGTCGTATTGCATGTAATGTCTCCCCATGACTTTAATCTGGACCCTTTCAGGTTTCTTTGACTGAGCAAACAGCCACAAATCACAAATAGTGCACAGCTAGAGGAGACATAAACAGCGGTGGAAAGTAGCAGAGACTAAAGAAGATACTAAACCAGTGTTTCCCAAAGTGGGTTCTACCATCCCCTGGAAGCTCTAGGACGGTCCAGCGGGGCTGTAGCAGCCTGAGGTGCACTTGGGAGGCATTGAATGAAAGTATGACAGTGGTAAAGAAAAAGAGAGAGAGTGTGTGTGAGACAGAGGACAAATGGAGAGCAAACAATTTAATTTAAACTGTTGGAACCTTTCTCAGTGCAGTGTAACAGACGAAAATCCTAGTGATTGTTTCATGTTTAAAATAAAGAAAGTATACTATAACGAATTAAATTCATCCTTCTCGTTACCATTAATTGGAGGTTTTAACAACGGATCAACATCATGGCACACGGGTAGTAAGTAACCCGTAAGTGCTCCGCTCTTCTTCTAACTCAAATCTGAGTCTGAAGAAGCTCAGCACAATGCACAGGCTCTGTAGCCCTGGCAAGGATCCTGAAATACTTTGGGTAGATTTTAAATTTCAAATTTTGCTCAGGCAGCGCTGTTAGGCTACTCTTTTCGATTTCCAACTGCCAGGGGATTTTTTACACTACCCAGAGACCAAGGGGAATTATAAGAAATCCAAGTCCACGTTAAAAAATCCCAGCCCTTACCGGGGATTGAACTTAGAACTTCTAGCACTTGAGGTGGACACCGTGCAGCCCCTTGCCATTAATGAATATGGAATTATTTAGTTTTGTTTTAGTATTCCCATACTTGGACACTGGACGGAGAGCCTAAGCTGAACACTTCTACAAGCATCAATTACTTATAACAAGTATTTTTGAATAAGAGACTTTCTGCGCCAGCCAACTGACAGAATTTAAGTAGATCACCTCTTATGCTGTTCTGACTGTTCCGCTCGCTGTTTAGTCAGTAAAACAGATAAGGAATCCCTTAGAGTAGCTATACAAAACCATTGAGGAACATTGGTTTTGTATAGCTCTTGCTGATGTTGGTTGTTAGAGACTTGCTGATGTCGGCTGTTAGAGACTTGCTGATGTCGGTTGTTAGAGACTTGCTGATGTCGTTTGTTAGAGACTTGCTGATGTCGGTTGTTAGAGACTTGCTGATGTCGGCTGTTAGAGACTTGCTGATGTCGGTTGTTAGAGACTTGCTGATGTCGGCTGTTAGAGACTTGCTGATGTCGGCTGTTAGAGACTTGCTGATGTCGGTTGTTAGAGACTTGCTGATGTCGGTTGTTAGAGACTTGCTGATGTCGGTTGTTAGAGACTTGCTGATGTCGGCTGTTAGAGACTTGCTGATGTCGGCTGTTAAAGACTTGCTGATGTCGGTTGTTAGAGGCTTGCTGATGTCGGTTGTTAGAGACTTGCTGATGTCGGTTGTTAGAGACTTGCTGATGTCGGTTGTTAGAGACTTGCTGATGTCAGTTGTTAGAGACTTGCTGATGTTGGTTGTTAGAGACTTGCTGATGTCGGTTGTTAGAGACTTGCTGATGTTGGTTGTTAGAGACTTGCTGATGTCGGTTGTTAGAGACTTGCTGATGTCGGTTGTTAGAGACTTGCTGATGTCGGTTGTTAGAGACTTGCTGATGTTGGTTGTTAGAGACTTGCTGATGTCGGTTGTTAGAGACTTGCTGATGTCGGTTGTTAGAGACTTGCTGATGTCGGTTGTTAGAGACTTGCTGATGTCGGTTGTTAGAGACTTGCTGATGTAGGTTGTTAGAGACTTGCTGATGTCGGTTGTTAGAGACTTGCTGATGTCGGTTGTTAGAGACTTGCTGATGTCGGTTGTTAGAGACTTGCTGATGTCGGTTGTTAGAGACTTGCTGATGTCGGCTGTTAGAGACTTGCTGATGTCGGTTGTTAGAGACTTGCTGATGTCGGTTGTTAGAGACTTGCTGATGTCGGCTGTTAGAGACTTGCTGATGTCGGCTGTTAGAGACTTGCTGATGACAACATCTAGTCCATGTTGACACCAGCTAGACTCTAGCAGCCCACATCAACCAGAAGCTCTACAGAAACGATGTTCCTCTATCACTCTGTTGTTTAGACTGTCATTGGAAACATCACAACCTAATATAAGCTTCACAAGTCAGTGGATAAAGTAGATGAACTGGGCAAAGAACTGGGGTCTAAAATTCATTGACACCTTTTTGTCTTTCTAGACTATTGTGTTGCAGAGGCATAGGATTCACATTCAACTGTACACAGTGAGGAAGTTAATCTTCACCGGAACCTGGGCATATTTTGTAGAGGCCATGTTTTGCCCACACAGCATGCTCCCTCACCTGACTTACCTTGTTTAATCTAAAGGAAAGATAACACAAATACGTTTGGAACAAAGCATGCAGCAGAAACTGCCAGATAAAAAGTGCAGCATATTTTTTCTGTCCACCTGGGGGTGTCAGCACACGAACTGATACATGCTGTTGGAGATCGCAGATTGTGGAGAGGTATAATCGCCAATTCTAGTTGGCAAGGCAATTTATAATAATGCTTATGTTGAGCGGGGAATCGGGGTATTTGTGGTCATGTTCGGGATGGTGTAAGGATTACACATTCTATATGTAGTTGGTTAAACCTGACTTCACGGCGACCGGGTGTCGAACTCCTTGTGGTCTGGGTTCACGCCCGGTGGTAGGCAGGAAAGCCACATCTCTCCCAGATTTACGGTATCTCACAGAATCGAGGCCAAATTGTTGCGATATCCATAGTACCGAGCCAGAGGGGTAACAACTTATGGTTTATGGATATTTAGGATGGTTTTTCTCACTGACTCACTGTCAGCTATACAAGCGCTTGAGTCCAAACCTACCGACAGCACACTACAAAGTCTAACACAGGAACTTGCTATGTTGTCAAAAAAGGCAGAAACTCACTTGCAGTTGATTCCATCTCACTGTGGCATCAAAGGCAATGAAAGCGCAGATGCTTTAGCCAAGGAAGGCAGTAACAAACCACAGACCTACCAGCCACTATCTTTTCCAGAAGTCAAAACTCTCATTAAAAGAAAATCAGAAACCGATTGGAAAACCAACACTGGTTATAACTACGAAAAAGATTTTCTGAAACACCTAAACATAACAGACCAAGTCACAGTTTTTCGCTTACGCACTGGACACAGCAGACTGAATAAACACTCATATAAATTAGGTATGAGCCAAACAGCTCTCTGCCAGTGTCTTCGTGCTGAACAGACTCCAGAACATGTCCTGCAAGACTGTCCTCTCCTGGCGGAGCTTCGGAGCAACATATGGCAACACCCAGTAGAACTGTCAACTAAGCTTTGGGGAGACCTAAGAGACCTTGAAAAGACATCCCAGTTTATGGCCCACAGTGGATTATGCGCATGACCAGAGATCGCTAAAGAAGAGGATATTTAAAAAAAAAAAGTCAAAAGCGCCAAGTTGTCAAGTTGCACGCCATGGTGTGCGTCCAAAAAAAAAAAAAAAGTGTGTGATCGTGAACATGACGTCTTTATGACGAGAGGGTTTGTGTCTCAGCAACAGCCCCTACGTCACCGAGTCATTTCGGTTAAGCACCATTGGCCGTCAGACATTATCCTGCCGCTGCTCCGTCCAGCCGTTCCTCCAACTCTCCACTCTAATCAGCTCTGCGCAACGCAGGATCGTATAGGTTCACTGGCAGATCTACCCCACTGAGATCTCAGCACCATCTCCACCTTCAGCCATGAACGCCTTCATCTCTGGCGCGGCGTCTCTTTTCTTTGGAAGCGTGTCTGCGGCCTCTGACAAGGTCAAGAGTGAGTATGTTTGTTCTCCCTCTGTTTCGTTGGCCCAAAACCTTGCTTGTTGTATTGTATCTGGCAACTGTATTCTTGACCTCTGACCTCGAGATGAACTGCTGACAATAAAATCCTAAACACACGGGAAGGAAACATTGAGGCAGACTTAATGGCAGCTGGTCAGTTGGTGCTACTGAATCAGGACGTGATGTTCCAGTACGGTTTCTGGGCTATGTGGGGATGAGACAACGCAGTGTTAGTTTGGTTCAGCTGGGGTTTTACGATTTGACATCTCCGCATTCAGGTCAAGCCCATATTGGGTCCGTTCAGAAAAAATTGGTAAAACATAAAAGTAGCTGTCCACTTTAGTCCTGCATCTCTGGCTTAGGCCTTGCCAGCGGGCTTAGTAATTACGAGGTGCCGGGTTAGATCTCAGCTGCGGCCAGTTTGGCATCAGGCCGCTTTGCGTTGTTTTCGACATTAGTAACGAGAGCCGATGTTTAGTAAGTGATAGCAAAATACTACTATAGCGAAATCACAGCAAAAAATTAATTGAAAATATTGTCGTTCCTGCGACATGGTATAAAGGAAATGAAACAGCTGTACGTGTCAATTTACACTAGACAAAGTCATTGCGGCGATTGTTCTTCATCAGAGCACAATAACAAGAAACAAAACATAGCACACAAAAGAATTTATTCTGAACTAACTACAGACATCGTGGGAGCCGCAGTGAGGTAGCGGCTAGACGCTCGCCTGCGAATCTAAAGGTCGTGGGTTCGAGTCCGAATGGAACCAGACTTTTTTTTAAAATCACTTTGGCTCCAGGTCGACCCAGCCTATGTGCCCAAAACGCGTATGATGGCGTGGGAAAATGGTCCTTTACTTACTTACATCAAAAGATATCAAATTAAAAAAGACAGCCTTCATCAGCACATGACATGAATAGACAATGTCATAAATACGAACAAGGAAACACAAAATCGCTGAATCAAAACGGTAAATAGGAAATATTATAGCACACAGACAGTCGCCGTTCTGGAAGGGCGGAATACACAAGTGAGGGGAAGTTAGTGAACTGCCGTGAAGCTATAGAAACATCAAGGAAAGATGTCAAACGAATAGCAGAACAATAGCAAAAACCATTTAGCTCTCTTTTGTCACAAGCGACAAATGAACGTTGCCGCCAGACAACCTTCATCATCACACTACGTAAAAAGACAATACCTTAAATAGGAACAATACAAACAGTCAGTCACTACATTTTATGAAAACTAAGCCATAACCAACAGCCATTAATCATCATAACCGCACACGCACATACACACGCGCGCGCATGCACACACCCACACGCAGAAAAAGCATGCATCCGCCAATATGTGAATGACACCAGCTTTGCTGGACTTTGCATGTCCATCTGCTTGCAGCCTGGGGCCGGAATATCAAGTGGGTTTCGCTGAAGGAGGGACAGCAGATGGCCAGGGAGCAGTAAGTAGATGTTGCTTAAATTAAATAACATCCCTGTGTGGGTTCCGGGTCCCTATTATAGGGGAAACAAGAATAGAACTTCTGCCTCCCCAAAAAACATGTCGTAAGAGTCGACTAAACTGGGAGCTTCCTTCAAAGTCAGACTGCATCTGGCTGAGAGGCAAGGAATCAACAGTCTGCATACAAATTATTCATCTGTAAGATGAATGCACACGCAACTCTCAGGTTCTGGAACAGGGCTGCAGTCCAAAAGTGGATGAACAACCAGAATTTTCCGCTAAGAGTTTACAGCTGGTGAACGCGACGAAGAAAAAGAAGATTAAATACTTTAGATGACATAAACTCTGTCACGGTTTGTTCAGTGGAATTGTTATATGCGTTATTTAGTCTGAGAGATAAAATTCCACAGATGGGGAAGGGGGAGGGGTTGTGGGGGGGGGGGGGGGGGGGAAGCGTTTTCAGTAATCTAGAAAAATGTGAAGGTACTCACCACAAAGTGTCTATCACAGTTAAATGTTAGTTGCGTATCCTTTACAGGACGTTGCAGAACCAACCCCAGCATTTTTGGGCTGTTGTAGTTTTTCTAGGCAAATTTTACGTTCAGTAGTTTGCCATTGCTAACTGAAAGGTCAGCTGTCGGTACCACTGTTGAAACCAACGCAAGACAAACTGTCCGCAGCTGGGATCGAACCCGGTACCCCGTTGCGTTCGCAACGCCTAAACCTCAGTCTCTATTTTACTGACTGGTGTGTGGTGAAGTGTGTGGTCCTGGGTGTGGCGTGGTCTTTATTTTTACAAGGTTGGCATTTGGCGAACTATGTGGTGAACTGTGTGGTGAACTGTGTGGTGAACTGTGTGGTGAACTGTGTGGTGAGCTATGTGGTGAGCTGTGTGGTGAGCTGTGTGGTGAACTGTGTGGTGAACTGTGTGGTGAGCTGTGTGGTGAACTGTGACTGTGTGGTGAACTGTGTGGTGAGCTGTGTGGTGAATTGTGTGGTAGTGTGTGTGTGGGGGTTTTTGTATGTACTGGGTTAAGGCGTCAAGAAAGGGGTTGGTACAACTATTGTTTGGCCGATTTGCAGGAGAAAGCCGGCGATGATTGTCTTCCACAAGCCGTGGTGCCGAGCTTGTAAAGGTAACCTCTTGGTGTCTTGTGTTTGTATGCGTCGTGTACATGCCAGGTGACTGCTGGAGCACCGCCTTCTGGCTAAGCAATTTATCTTCTGAATCGAGGGAGCATCAGACATGGCTGGTAGTGCAAAAGACAACAAGCTGCTGTGCGACAAGATATTTTATTGTGTATATGGAAATACACAAACAGATAGACTGGCTGGTGCTGCACCACTTGGTGGTTGGGGACTTGTTGCATGACAAGCTACATGTGGTCAAGGTCATTTAGGAGCAAGTGAACATTGTCGTAGAGAGTATATATTGTTACGGGGTGGAGCAGATGGGATGGCGGGGAGAGGCCGACGGTGTTACAGAGTAATGTCCCTACAGGCTGACGGATTTGGCTGAAGGATCTGGCTGATGGATTTAAGAGACAACAGGAGAACATCATAACTAGAACGTCTTTGCATTGGAACCCACCGGGGCATAGGAATAAAGGAAGGCAAAAAAAAAAAAACACAAGGAGAAGAGAGCTGGAGAATGAAGTTGAAAAGATGGGGAGGACATGGGGAGAGCTCCATGCAATGGCAAAGGATAGAACGACTTGGCGTGAGTTGGTTGAGGACCTATGCTCCATTGGGGGATAGAAATAACAGAAGAAGAAAGAAAGAAGAACTCAGCTGAAGATAGGATCACACGCGCGCCACAGGGCAAACCATATCAGAAAAGTTAACCACGTTACTGTGTTTGTTTCCACGTGGTCATCAAATACTGATGCTTTAGTGATATGGTGTGATGTTTACCATATCGCGCCCTGATTGGCTGGTGGAAGATTGGCGCTATCTTCACCGGAGCTACTTTATGCCGAGATTAAATGCAGCAACATTTTGAAGATTTAGGAGAGGAAAGGTCATTAGTGGAACTGTGGGTTGGCTGCTAAATCGGAAAGACTGAGCACTCGTGGGAATGCTTAATGTGCAATTGTGCTACTTGTGATATTCGTATTTTTTCGTTAAAATGAATTATCTATATCTGCAATGCTGTCTCTAGTATGGACTTCACTGTCTTTTGTAATTTACTTAGCGGCCCGTAAAGTTTGGCTTAACCAGTGTCTCTCTAAGCCAGAGATTTTGCATGAAAATTTCGTATCTGAGACAGTCTTGGAGGATGTGATCTGTTGTCTCAGGTGCCAGTCCACATGTATACATGGCTGGTTCGCCACTTTTAAATTGTGATATAGCATAAAATAACCTCAGCATTGTTTGGTTTTACCCCCCCCCCCCCCCAACCCCGAAACAAAAATAGCCTTTAGTAGTTCGCGATTGCTTCTGTGATACCAGTGTCAAAACTAACGCAATGTAGTTTGCTGTCAAATCTCTTGCAGCTGGAATTCGAACCTGGTATCTCTAAATTATGAACCACCTTCCCAACGCCTAAGCCACAGACGCCGACATCTGAACAATTGTCTCAGTTATCTGGGAATTACCTGTAAGGGGAACAGGGGGGAGGGTGAACAAGTGAGCCAGGCACCCTATCTGGTGATACAGAGTTCGAGACTGGAACCCCAGCGAGTAGAGCTTGCAGGCGGCACGGCTAACTACCTTGACCTTGTATTTCAGCTCTGAGACCGAGGTTTGCCAACAGTCAGGACATCGAGCACTTGGCGTCAGACTTCGTCATGATCAGTGTCGAGGTGAGCCGCGTCGTGGTCGCCACTCTTGTGGCAGCTTTCTGTTGTACTCTGACATGGAATGACGCGATTGTTGGTTGTTGTATGTTGGAGATGGTGGCGTCGTCGTTGCTGCTGCTAGGTTGACCAAACAGTTGTGGGGTGGGGTGGTCAGTGCTGACATTAGATTGCCCAGATACAAAGTTATCATTAGTCTGACCAGACAGTTTCGTAGTAATCGGCATTATACTAACCAGACAGTGTCGTAGTAATCGACATTATACTAACCAGACAGTGTCGTAGTAATCGGCATTATACTAACCAGACAGTGTCGTAGGAATCGGCATTATACTAACCAGACAGTTGTGGGATACAGATAAAACACTATTGTTAGTCGTGCCCAATAGCAAGGCATATTTATTCAGGTTGCATGTACCTCCATTCTTGTTATTCCAAGTCTATCCGCCTTATCATATCTCTAGCCATGCACCCATCTCCGGCTTCCAAAGTTTAAAATCATCGAGAATTTGCTTCAACTACCAGTTTGTGGTCATTATTGATTCCACCGACGAAAGACTGCCATTTTTAGTGACGGACTGGTTGTGGTGGTACTTCTCGTGGGTGGTTGCCTTATGCATTTAATGCGTATGTATGCTATTGGCTTTGCCGCGCATTAGTTTGTTACAATTGTCCCATGTTTGTATGATGTCTGGTGATGTTTGTATGATGTATGGCAGTGTCTGTGTGTGGGATTGCAATGTTTGTATGATGTCTGGTAATGGTCATAGGACGTCTGGCGATGTTCGTATGATGTCTGGTGATGTTTGTATGATGAATGGCAGTGTCTGTGTGTGGGATTGCAATGTTTGTATGATGTCTGGTAATGGTCATAGGATGTCTGGCGATGTTCGTATGATGTCTGGTGATGTTTGTATGATGTCTGGCGATGTTCGTATGATGTCTGGTGATGTTTGTATGATGTCGAACAGTGTATTAGTATGGCTTTTCAAATTATATATGGTGTCTGGCAAAGTTTGTACCATCTCTGATGATGTCTGGCAGTGTCTATTGGGGGCTGGGGATCTTTGTATGAGTTCAGTTCTGGCAACGTAAGTGTGGGGGTTAACAATGTGTCAGTGTTTGTATGATGTCTGGACGTGTTTGTATGATGTCTGGCAATGTATGTGTGCGAGGGCCGGCAATGTTTGCATGATGTCTGGAGGTGTTTGAAGGATATATGATGATGTTTGTATTATATGTGGCAATGCTTATATAGACAAGCAGTGTCTGTGTGTGGGCTGACAATGTTTGTATGATCTCTGGCGATGTGTGTATGATGTCTGACGTCTGTATGTAAGTTGGCATTATCTGTGGGTAGGTAGGCAATGTCTATATGTTGATTGGAAATGTCTATGTGTGGGTTGGAAATGTCTATATGTGGGTTGACAGTGTGTGATAAGCTACCTGGTATCGAGTCAGTATTTAGTTTGTCTATGAATCTCTGCAGGAAGATGACTCTCCCAAGAGTTCTGACCTGAGCCCTGACGGAGCCTACATCCCGAGGATTCTGTTTCTGGGTACAGTTGTCTGTCTGTCTGTTCTTTCATCCTACAGCCTTTAGATCACAGGGACATTATTATATGAGAATCTGATCACCTATTTTGTCGATACAATTATTTATCTCTTTGATACAATTATCTTGTCTATACAATTATTTATCTCTTTGATACAATTATCTTGTCTATACAATTATTTATCGTGTCGATACCATTATTCATCTTGACAATACAGTTATTTATGTTGTCGATACAATTATTTATCTTGACGATACAATTATTTATGTTGTCGATAAAATTATGTATGTTGTCGATCCACTTATCTTGTAGAGAAAATTATTTATGTTGGTAATACACTGATTGATGTTGTTGATACCATGTCTGTTGGTCATACACTGATTGATGTTGTTGATACCATGTCTGTTGGTCATACACTGATTGATGTTGTTGATTCCATGTCTGTTGGTCATACACTGATTGATGTTGTTGATACCATGTCTGTTGGTCATACACTGACTGATGTTGTTAATTCCATGTCTGTTGGTCATACACTGATTGATGTTGTTAATTCCATGTCTGTTGGTCATACACTGATTGATGTTGTTGATTCCATGTCTGTTGGTCATACACTGATTGATGTTGTTGATTCCATGTCTGTTGGTCATACACTGATTGATGTTGTTGATTCCATGTCTGTTGGTCATACACTGACTGATGTTGTTGATTCCATGTCTGTTGGTCATACACTGACTGATGTTGTTGATTCCATGTCTGTTGGTCATACACTGATTAATGTTGTTGATTCCATGTCTGTTGGTCATACACTAATTGATGTTGTTGATACCATGTCTGTTGTACTGTACCCACAGATCCGTCTGGAAACGTCATGAAACACGTGACAGCCAAGGGAACAGAAGGTTACAAATATTACTACAATGAAACCAAGTCAAGTAGGTCATCTCCTGGATGTGGTCGTTATGGTAGTCGCTGTCAACGTCGTATCAAAGCTTCTTGAACTGTCAGTTTCTGCTGCTTCTCTGGCTTTTTGATTGTTTGCTTCTCTGTTTATTATGTCATTAATCTTCTTCCTTTTCTTTCACGCCCTTTCTCTTTTCATTTTTCTTCTTCTCCTTGCAGTCCCCTCTCTGCTTTCAATTTTCTTATTCTTTCTTTGCTAGATTTTGTTGAACTATTTTTTCCTTTGATTTCCATCTTATTTAATTTTGCTTTCTTTTCATCGAGGCTAATGTAAGAAGGGGCGGGAGAAAAAAAAAAGGGGGGGGGGGGGGTTGGAATGTCGAGTTAGGGAAAGACAAGGATTTAAAACTTGTCACAATGATGTCAAGGTCAGACAATTCCGGTACCTGGGCTACAGAGAGAGAGAGAGAGAGAGAGAGAGAGAGAGAGAGAGAGAGAGAGGAGAGAAAGAGAGAGAGAGAGAGGAGAGAAAGAGAGAGAGAGGGGAGAGAAAGAGAGAGAGAGACAGAGAGAGAGACAGTGAGAGAGAAAGAGAGAGAGAGGAGAGAAAGAGAGAGAAAGAGAGAGAGACAGATAGAGACAGAGAGACAGACAGAGAGAGAAAGAGAGAGAGAGAGAATGAGACAGAGACAGAGAGACAGAGATGAAGAGCTTTGTGTTAATAAGATGCGCTGACTGCATGTGTCAATAAGCAAGAGGGAAAACGTCGGAGTATCAGTTTGGCCTCATGTTTATTACATCTGGTCTGTCACCTGAAACTCATCTCGAGAAGTTGGCTACAATGTCTCCTATCTCGACAGCACCGATGTTTGCCGAACCACACTTGACTTCGAGATCACGCCAGTCTAGTCCCTACACCGGTGATAACATCTGCTCTGTCCGTGTGTCTGCTCGCCTGTAGCGTTGCAATACTTACCAGCTCATCCACTCGTTCATTACCCTTTACTCTTGCATACCCAATGGCGTAGATCCATACGAGGAAGGTTAAAGCTGGTTTCCGAATGCTCTCTACTTGGTTGCCTGTTGGGATTTTCAGAGAATGCTCCCGAAGTCTTGATCTGATCGCTGCGCTTCTTGTAACAGTCAACATTGTCCATTTGTTAGGATATTGTTTCATTTGATCTCACAATTCTGCCCAGTTGTGATATTATCTCATATTTGAGTCTACAGTCCTCTTCAGCTGTGATATCATCTACTAATATTTGATCCTACAATCTTCTCCAGCTGTGATGTTGTCTACTAATATCTGATCCAGTTATCTATCACAGCTGTGATATTGTCTGACATTTGGTCCAACAATCCTCCCCAGCTGTCTTCAATCCTAATATTTTATTCAACTGTCTTCCCCGTTTGTTATATTGTCTAATATTTGATCCAACAATCCTCCCCACATGTGACAATGTCTGATATTTTATCTAGTTATCTTCCGGTCCTCATATTGTCTAATATTTGATCCAGCTCTTCGCCAGTTTGGTCATTTGATCCAACAATCCTCCCCATGTGTGATATTATCTGACATTTGATCCCATTATCCTCCCAGGTGTGATATTGTCTGACATTTGATCCAGTTATCTCACGCAGTTGTGATATATGTCTGACATTTGATCCAGTTATGTTCCCCAATTGTTATATTGTCTTACATTTGATCTAATTATCCTCCATAGCTGTGATATGTGACATTTGATCCCATTATCCTCCCAGGTGTGATATTGTCTGACATTTATTCCAATTATCTTCCCCAGTTGTAGACAGTATGAAGCAGGTTCTGAAACAGACCACCAACCCCAGACACTACAAGACTAAATAGTCAGCCAGTCTGACAGTTCTCTGAGAAGATTTCCAAGAAATCGGATGCCTTCAGTTTTGGCACAAACGTTAATCCAAGATTTCAGAAACGGAATCCAGTCGCCCTGTTGGGACCGAAAGCTGTGCACCTGAATCAAACATGAAGCATATGGGCCACAATCACCCAGGTAGAAAATCTTATTTGACGAACATAATTTTCTGTACAATTGTAGACAGATTTCTCTGTAACGGCGTGCCATATTTGTTTCAAAATTGGATAACTGATTTAACGTGGGTTCTATAGCCAAGTGTTTCCATTCACAAATGTGGCGTCGCTGGAGTTTCCCTTCGACTCACGATGAAAAATATCAGAAAACTTGTGCTCGGAAAAATCGCCAGTTTTAAATAAAACACCATGGTTTACTAACCTGACGCCCAATGGTGCTAGCCAAAATAAAACAAACAAAACAGAAATAAATGTTATTTTGGTTTATTTATTTAAAATTGTTTTGCGGCGCGTCAATGATTTTTCTTTCCTCGTGTGGACAAATTCAGAAGGGCAGTGTGCAGCAGAGATGTGGTTCGTGCACCGAGTGTTGCAAATACTTGGGTTGGGTGCAGGGGGGGGGGGGGGGGGGCGATTAGACAGATATTGTAACTATTCTTCTTCTTCTACTTCTTCTTCTTCTTCTTCTTCAGCATTCCGAGCCCTTGAGGTTCTTTGCTGTAGATATCACCCGCCTCCACTCATCTCTCTGGCTCGCCTTTTCTTTCCAGTTGGTAACACTGTTTGCAGGTTTTTCTGGACATTATCTCTCCATCGTCTTCTTGTTCTGCCTTGTGGTCTACGGCCGTTTATCTCTGGACTAGATGATGCAGTAGTGTACACCGATGGTTCTGGTAATCGGGGTGTAAGATCTGGCTGGAGATTTTCAGCTAGAATGATTGGAAAGAATGTGGCAGAACAAAACGGAGCTTTTTCATCTACAATTTCCAGCATGAGAATAGAAGTGAAGGCAATAACTGCAGCTCGGAAGTGGATGGCAGAAAACAAAGTTGCAAGAAGAATTATTGTCTGATTTTTAATCGGCATTGAGGAAGGTTTAAAAGGGACTAGTTAGTTAGTTAATTAGTTAGTTGGGTTATCATCATTGCACTCCGGACATGTCCATAGGTGCTCAGATCCTCCCCTCAGTATGAACCCCAACGTCCGATGGCTAATAGTACCAGTTCTATGTTGATTAACAAGTCTTCTGACGTGTCCGGTGTGCGTCTCGTTTTTTGCTGTACCGATCTTAATTCCCAAGTCTGCCATTCTGGCGAGTGATGTGGATTCACTGCCACCAAAGTCCTCTATCCTTCCCATTTCTCTGAGGGCATTGATAATATCAGCATGATCCATAGGCCGACCGTCGGTAGTGATAGCGGATGCAGCCAACCTGTCAGCTCTTTCATTTCCATCGACGCCAGCGTGTCCCGGAACACAAATAAAGGTGACTCCTGGCACAGTGGACTTCTGAATTGATTCAAGCCATTGTCTTCGCACTGAACCTGCCTGAACCCTCCGGATCATACTCATTGAATCACTGAGTATACATATGCGGGTGTATTTTTGTGTTTCAAGCCAGGCAAACCCTTGCGTCACTGCTATCACCTCCTTCGTCATGCTGCTGGTTGTCATGGAGAAGGCGCCGTTGGCTTCTTTGACTGTTCTGCCCGCTGAGCGTGCTGTAAATGCCCATGCGCTTCTTTTTTGGCGTATAATGGATCCGTCTGTATAGATTAGTGCATCTGCTTCGTCTGAATTTTCACCGATGAGAGCGTTGACCTCTGCATTAACAGCAACAGGATTCTCTTCTCTACATCGCCTGTTGGGTGTGACAATACAGAAAAATGTACAAATAAACGCCTGAGGCACAGGTATCCATTCTGCACCAGGTATGATGTCGGTTAGGCTGCATATTTGCCTAATAACATCTTCTGCCCGACCTAGCCATGATTTTCCCCTCTTAAGTCTGTCGCCCTTTTCACTAAAAAGCGCTTGATGCAGTGGGTGCTTCTTATCAGCACATATTTTGAGGTATGCCCGAGCCCTCCACATCCTGATCCTTTGGTTCATTGTTGGAAAGTCAAGTAGATACCTCATTGCTCCACAGGATGTGTCTCTTGTACATCCCAAAATAATACGCATGGCTTCATTTTGCACCTTTTCGAGTCGTTCAATCTGTGTAGCACTGACAGTGAGGATGGCCAGAGCGTATTCAATGGGGGAAAGGACCAGACCGTAGAATAGAAGTACTAGTAGTCTTTGCTCGATATTGGAAGCAGTGATAATCCTCATTGCAGATAGACCTTTGCGTGCTTTTGTTATCACATGGTCAACGTGTTCCCTGAATGACAAGCTGCGATCGAACCTCACCCCGAGAAACGTCATAACGTTGGTTCTGATCAATACATTATCACGCATTTTCACTTCTGGTAAGTCCGACTTGACAATGTGATTGTTCAAAGAGAACCATGACACTGATGCCTTCGAAGGATTGACATAGGCATTTATTAAAATGGACTAATGTGGCATGAGTGGATACCATGCATCAGTACGCCAAAATTGCAGGCAATCCCGTGGATGTACTGTCCGTCCGGGATATGCAGGATTGCGACGGAATAAAAGAGCGGATTTTCTGGCTACAAAAGCTAAAGCTCCGGGAACACTCGTATTGGACAAGGAAGATATTCTGAAGATTATATATGAACGACTTTTGGCAGAAGACACTACATTAGATAAAATAGCATGGGCAAAAATGTGTGCGGTTTAAGGTTTGAACAATGGATCAACATCATTGCACACGGGTAGTAATCCATAAGTGCACCGTTCTTCTTCTAACTCGTTTGAGTCTGAAGAAGCTCAGCACGGTGCACAGGCTCTGTAGCACCGGCGAGGATTCTGAAATACTTTGGGTCGATTTTAACTCCAAATGTTGCCCGGGCAGCGTCGCTAGACTACTCTTTTCGATTTTCAATTGCCAGGTTGTTGTTGTTTTTTACGTGCGCAACAATGCACACGGGCGTCCGATCTCACTACCCAGAGACCAAGGGGAATTACTAGAAGTCCAAGTCTAAGCGAAAAAATCCCACCCTCGCTGGGATTGAACCCGGAACCTCTAACACTCGAGGCGGACAAAAGAATGTGTGAACCCGATATTAAATGTGGATCTGGCAAGGATGGACGGATGAGAGTAAGAGAACGACGCGTGTATGTATAATCAGTGTGCTACGGGAACAGTTTGCATCTACACCATACGCCATTTGCTGCGGGAGACGGAGCATCTATGGAAATGCCCGGTGTGCTATGATGTCGATTCTTAAATCAGTTATCAGTCGGAAACCCGATTGGGAATCTCCCAATATGTCTTTGACGTATGGTTTTAGTCTGTTTCGCAGTACCGCCGATAGTATCTTAAAGCTTGTAGATAGTAGGGATCCTTTACATGACGTTGCAGAACCAACCCCAGCAGCCCCTGGCTGTTGTGTGGTTTCTCTAGGCAAATTTACGTCCAGTAGTTTGCCATTGCTTTCTGGACGGAGATAATAGTGGTATTCCTCTATAATATTCACATTTATACGTGTCTCCTTTCTTATAAATGAGAATTAATAATGACATTTCCTATTGTTGGGGTAAAACATTGTAGCTATAGATTGTAAATCTCACGGGTTTTTGCCGAACTGACTGTGAGCTGCGTGTCTACCTAGAGCACAGGACAACACTGTCGTCTGGACACACGGACAACCTCCAAATATACTGAAGCGCGCGGGCACGCACACGCACGCACAGTTTTGTCCACCAACATACAGCTCTGTGGTCATTTACCCCGCCAGATAGTCAGCTATGGCCATGTGTATGTCCTAGTTGTAGAAACTGACCTCATCTAACTGTCTTAAATAGATATAGCAGCGACCACGACATTCCCATAAGCACTCTGTCCCAATCTTCAGCAGCCAGCCCAAAGTTTCCATTCCGATGACACTAGTAGAAGTCTGCATGTCTATCTTGGTTGCCATGATGGTCTCTGTTTGTATTTCCACATTGGTCACTGGCTGTCAGAGAGCTACAGACCCAAACATGCATGCGGGCTTGATAGTTCTGGGCCAGGGGAAGAGAAGGTTAGTGTGGCCCAATACAAATTAGACGTGTGCAGGGTTCTAATCTTTGTCAAGCTGAAACCCAGGGGCCACTAGTGCCCTGGTGTTACACACAGTGAGTGGCTGTACGCTACCCAGCTCTGTGGTTTAGGCGTTGCTAACGCGTTTCCTAATACCGGGATGCCGATTCGATCCCAGCTGCAAGCAATTTGGCAGCAAACCGTCTTGCGTTGGTTTCGACAGTGATATCGAGAGTCGACCGTTAATGACGCAATGAAGAACTACTAAACGTAAATTTGCCTAGAAAAACTACAACAGCAACAACAACAAAACTGCTAGGTTATTCTGCAACTTCCTGTGAAGGATACACAACTAAACTTCCGGTCAAAATGGACGCTAGGCGGGCCACTGTTTTTGGAGCCGAGGCAAATTTTTTGCTTCTGCATTACGGTGGCCGATGCATTTTTGTCCCATTTGTAGACTGGATATAGTTTCGTCGCCCAGCTTCTGAGTTGAATGCATGGCGTGACACTGTGAGCTGCGGATTTAATTTGAAATGTTTTTTTTCGACTGTGACCAACGTGGTGGTGTGAATTGTAGATTCAGAAAATGGCGCGATGCCTGTCGTCGCAATTTTGGTGGTGCCCGTATGTAATTAAAATTGATCGCGTGGGAAACTGCAGATCTGTTGGTGACTTCTGCTACCATCAATGATGAACTGCATTTCTAAAGTCGGACTGTTTTTGTTAGCACTTCGGATGGCTACTATATGCTTCAATACGAGTGTGTGCTAGATATGCTGAGACAGCAGTCTGTCAATCTTTCCACAAGGGACTGTGATAAACATTCTGTGTGTTTTTCGTTGGCACGGGAGCGGAGCAA